ATACGGGGGTCAGAGAGCTGCTTGAGGAGACAGTCTGTCCTTCGTAGGAGCTCAAGTGCTGAGCTGTGAGCTCCATTGTTCATTCAGAGCTGTTGGACAGGTACATTTAAGTCTGCTGCAGCAGAACTCATAAACCCCTCCCCCGCCCCCAGATGCTCCGTCCTGGGGAGTTAGGGCTTTATTTATGAGTTTCTGTTGTGCTGCTAACTTTTTCAGGGCTTCCGTGCCCAGGAAGGAGGCAGCCTCGTCACTGTCTAACTGCAGAGGCTTTGCCGAGCTGCTATGGGCTCTGCCCATCTGCTGTGTGAACTTCCCTGTAGTCCTGTTTATATGGGTATAGTTAGAACTGCCTCAGCAATGGCGGCCCACCTCTATAATGGTGGACTCTCTTTGTAATGGCGGGCTGCCTCGGCAATGGGCAGGCTGCCTCAGCAATGGTGGACTACGTCCATAGTCGTGGAGTGCCTCGGTAATGGTGGACGCCCCTCCCCCACAGAGCGGGACTGCCCCTGGTTCAGCTGTGCTTGCTGTGAAACTCTCAATCCAGAGCATTTCAGATTGCTTTTTTGTGGGGGTTGGACCAGCCAAGCCTGATCACCAGACTCCCTGCCTCAGAGCACCCTCCTCCTTTTTTTTAGTTGAACAGGCAACTGTGTCTGCCAGGTGTTCCAGTCACCTGTTGAAAAGTCACCAGGATCTATGTGATTTCCCGTGTGACGACCCACTGCGCTGGCTGAAACAGCCACACTGAGATTCATGGCACTTTTTTTCCCAGGAATCTCCTGGCCTGGCTCCCTGTTTCAGTCTCCTTTTTTGTCAGTTGAATGGGCGACTCTGTCTCCCAGAAGCTCCAATCACCAGCTAAAATGGCACCCGGGCCCGTGTATTTTGTGTGGAGAACCAATGCGCTGGCCAAAACAGCCACGCTGGCGACCCGTGGGGCTCCTCTGCCTGGGAATCTCCTGGTCTGTGGGTAATAAAAATCCGTCTGGAAATGCAGTATCCGCTCATCCTCTGCACTTTTGCTGGGAGCTGCAATCTGAGCTGCTCTTAATCAGCCTTCTTGGATCCGTCCCCCAGAAAATCTTTTACTGTTGAATTTTATAAAACCATGTCCATGGCCAGGTGTGGTGGCTCACACCTGTAATCCCAACACTTTGGGAGGCAGGGGCAGGAGGATTGCTTGGGCCAGGAGTTTGAGATCTTTGTGGGAAAGAACATAGCGAGACTCTGTCTCTACCCAAAAAGTTATGAAAATATTTAAAACCACGTATGGTAGTTTCTTAATTTTATTTGGTAACATTGGTGAGAGAAAATCACTATTTCTTTCTTCAGGATTTCTCACCAATCTAGTCATGCTGTAGCCCTCTTCTCAGATCTCACCTCTTTCTAGCTGTTCCTATGCTTATCAGTCCTGATTGTCAAGGTAGCTTCGCTCCCAATTAAAGTATCTCTTTTTTTCAGAGAAATTTTCAGCCCTCACCTACCCAGTATGCTCCTAGAACAACTTCTCCTTGGTCTTTATAGCATTAACCAGTGTGTTGTCATTGTTCATTTGTTTGTCTTTATCTCTCTGCTAGATTGCAAGACCATTTATATTTAGCACGTAGAAAGAACTCTGTAAATGTTTAGTGAATGCATTGGATGATAAATAACTCTAGTGAAACTTATTTAACCTTATATATGCTTTCAAAAATTTTGATTAGTAATCCCAAATTTATTAGATCAGCTACAGATCTTCAATTTCTGAAACTAGCCAATCTCATTTTAAGAAAATTTTTCATTTTAACAATTTGCTATTAATTGCATAGTCTCAATATAATTTGCAAGGATTTTCCAGTTTCATAAGTTTCCTAAAGATTTCTGTAGATACCACTATAGTTGTGGCATGTGTCTTTTTTTTTTTTTCTTTTTTTTTGAGACGGAGTTTCACTCAGGCTGGAGTGCAATGGCGCGATCTCGGCTCACTGCAACCTCTGCCTCCTGGGTTCAGGCAATTTTCCTGCCTCAGCCTCCTCGGTAGCTGGAATTACAGGCACGTGCCACCACGTCCAGCTAGTTTTTTTTTTGGATTTTCAGTAGAGACGGGGTTTCACCAAGATGACCAGGATGGTCTCGATCTCTTGACCTCGTGATCCACCCGCCTCGGCCTCCCAAAGTGCTGGGATTACAGGCGTGAGCCACCGCGCCCGGCGTGGCATATGTCTTATGGATAGTTTACTGAAAGCAGCACTGTTCTCTTTTACTTTTCTAAGTTTCTTTTCTGTGATTTTCTTTCCCCCGCCCCAAGTTGGTGGGGGGGAATTTTCCATTGTTCCTTTTCACTTCATTTCTAAAGCCATTACTAACTGAATAGCAAAAGCTAACTGTGCCTTTGAAATAACAGATGCAAGGCATAAAGGAGGCTGGGTGTGGTGGCTCACGCCTGTAATCCCCACACTTTGGGAGGGGGAGGTGGCTCGATCATGTGAGGTTGGGAGTTTGACACCAGCGCAGCCAACATGGTAAAACCACATCTCTGCTAAAAATATAAAATTAGCCGGGTGTGGTGGCATGCACATATAATCCCAGCTACTCTGGAGGCTGAGGCAGGAGAATCACTTAGAACCCTGGAGGTGGAGATTGTAGTGAGCCAAGATCATGCCAGCCTGGGCTACAGAGCAAGACTGTGTTTAAAAAAACAAAAAACAGGCCGGGCGCGGTGGCTCAAGCCTGTAATCCCAGCACTTTGGGAGGCTGAGGCGAGTGGATCACGAGGTCGAGAGATCAAGACCATCCTGGTTAACATGGTGAAACCCCGTCTCTACTAAAAATACAAAAAACTAGCTGGGCGTGGTGGCGCATGCCTGTAATCCCAGCTACTCAGGAGGCTGAGGCAGGAGAACTGCCTGAGCCCAGGAGGCAGAGGTTGCGGTGAGCTGAGATCGCGCCATTGCACTCCAGCCTGGGTAACAAGAGCGAAACTCCGTCTCAAAAAAAAAAAAAAAAAAAAAAACACAAAGAGCATTAAAGGGAAGCAGAATCTGTTAGTAATAGAGTGAACATGAAGGTAACAATCCACTGCCAATTGTTCTCAATTGAAGAGCCTCTGAAATGTAAGTGAAATTGTCTTTTTGGGGGGACAGATCAACAGTGATTGGATCTCTCTACTTACTAAACGTATCTATTTTTTAGGTATCGAATGATAACAGAAGGCGGAGTCAGCATAAATCACCAACAAGTAACAAATCCTGAGAGCGTTTTAATTGTTGGACAACATATTCTCAAGAATGGACTTTCCTTACTTAAAATAGGAAAAAGAAATTTCTACATTATAAAATGGCTTCAGTTATGATGAAAAATCCTTCTGGTTATTCAAGTACTTACCCATCATTTATTCTCAAGACCTCTGAAGGGTTGGCTCCAAAACTTAGATCTTTGCTTATGCAAATCAGAAAAACAGAATGGAGTATACACTAGGACTCCATGTGAGTAGCTTCATTTGATTTTTATGGGCTGGTTAATAAATAAGGTATTTGTTTAGTGATGGGATGTTTTATTTTCTGATGTACAAATCTTGATTACCATAGAAAACCGTGATTTTCAGGGTTAATCTCCTTTTAAAATTATACTTCAGAAGAGAAAGAAATGCTAGCTTTCCTATCCTATGCTTCCCATTCTCCTTTTTGTAGTGATAAAGAACAATGAAAAGAGGTAGTGTAAGGAATTGTGAGGCTGGGCTCAGTGGCTCACACCTGAAACCCCAGTACTTCAGTGGGCCAAGGTGGGCAAATCACTTGAGGCTAGGAGTTTGAGACTGGCTTGACCAACAGGGCAAAAACCCTGTCTCTACTGAAAATGTAAAAACTAGCTAGGCCTAGTGGCAAGTGCCTGTAACCCCCAGCTACTAGAGAGGCTGATGCATGAGAATCACTCAAACCCGGGACATGGAGGCTGCGGTGAGTCGACACTGCACCACTGCACTCCAGCCTAGGAGAGTGAATAGTGAGACTGTCTCAAAAAAAAAAAAAAAAAAAAAAAAATTGTGTCTGTATTTGTATCAGGTGTGGCACACGGATCTCACTAATGTTATATAGTTGTTTATAAAATCAACAGTGCCTCTAGTGTCCACATTAGAAATGGGAAAACGAGTATTAGAAACTGATTAGAAATTTGATTTGTGTGTGTGTGTGTGTGTGGTTTAGGGAGCAAATGTAGTTCTTTTTGAAAAGGAGAAAAGTTAGATGAGGACATAGTTGCTTTGAGAAATTATGGTAAGACGTAGTTTCTTTACAAGGAATAGTATAAAAATCAGTTTGTGACTTTTCAGTAAGTTTCTAATTCAGTTTTTTAGTTCCTTAGGCCTGTGTTCCAGTATCATTCCATTCTCATTAAGCCTTGTTTTGTCAGTGTATTCCTACGGTAGCAATGTTTTATAGATTTAGGAACTTAAATTAGTTTTAAGTTTCCATTTCTGCCCCCACACAGATTGCAACTAGAGGTAAATTTAAAAATAACCCCCTCCCCCTCCAAAATAAAATACACACTCATGTGAGACTATCAAAAAGTATCCAGGTAAGGAAAGTTTTCAGGTCAAACCTAAAGGATTTGGAGTCAAGACTCAGTTCAGCTCTGCAAACATGCGGCAAATTAATTCTCCAGAACTATTTCCATATCTGAAAAAAAAAGGCAGTGGCCTCCCTGTTGCCCTGAGGATCAAGTGAATCACATATGAAATGATTAATCAGATTTCTTTTGAAAATCTTACAGGCTGCAGAGCATGGCTTTAGTGTTCAGATTCTAGCCATTTACTGCCTGGATTACTTGGAGCAAGTCACTGTCTTCATATGCAAAAATGGCGATGTAATAATACCTTGGTGAACTGTCAGAATCTGGTAGGAAAAAAGTCATAAAACGTTTAGTACTCTATACGGTTGTTTCAAAGTAGATTTAGGTATTAAAAAGCTCCTTTTCTCCCTTTCTCTGGGAGAAAATAAGAATTTTTTTGACAAACTTTAATATCATTTCATACCAGCAATTTTATTTACACAGCAAGAACATACAGGTATCTGTTATAAATGTCAGAGATCATCTCTACATTTCAGAACTTGACTCAGTTTAAGGGCCAACAAAAGAACGTTTTTTTCTCTTTCCATTAAGTTTCTTGCCTCTGTTTTTCGTTGTACAAAATGTGTAGTACTAGCAAGTGCATTACCATAGCATGTCTTTAATTTTTAGTTTGAAATCTGATGTGCTAGAGAAAAGTGCATTGTAAGTTTTTTGGGTTTTTTCCCCTTACGAATTCAAAAGACTAATCTGGAAAAAGTAAATCATGGATGGTTATAATTTTGAAACTGATGCCTAATGACAGCAGAGTGATTTTTAAGTGTTGTAACAAAAGTTTGGGGAGCATGTATCCTCTGTCAAGATGGTACTAGTAACAGATTCAAGGTAGTGCCATATCGTATCAGAGTGATACGGGGTTTTTAATGTTTAAGATCAGTTGGTGAGCCTGTTGTTCCTTAGTATACTGGTGCAGTAAGCTAAAGTTAACATATTTTCCCTGCCAATAGTCCTTCATAAATATCTGGTCATAAACTGAAAAAAAAAATTTAATATCTATAAATGTGTCGTCTGTTAGTGATGGGGCTAGATGTCAGGTACATCTTCAAATTTATAATGTAGTTTATACCAAGAATCACCTGGGGAATTATATGTTCTAAACCTTATCACTATCCCATAAATGCAGTTTAAGTCTGTAAGTCTTAAGGAGTTTGTCTATCTGGGTTTTTTTTTGTTGTTTTTTTTTTTGAATAACAAAGCTCCTCCAGTACTTTCATACTATTCTAATATATTTTGTTGGAATATAGTTTGTTTGTATGCTGTAAAGCAAAAGTAGCTATTACCAGCATACACATACAGTATATTGGTTTTAAGTCCCACCTCAAAGTGAATCTTAGAGGCTGGTGTAAGTGCTCCATTTTAAAGATGTACCTTCGTTACTACTACTGTATTGTAAGTTCATGGAAATTTAGGTCATCACTGGATTGTCTAAAACTAAAAGGAACTGGCCATCATTACCAACTCTTACTAGATCATCAAGGGTAGATGGCTGTTGTTTTTAATGTAGGAATTAATGTAGGCATTCATGCTTACAGGTTTAAGTATGAATCAAAGCATATTTTAATTTTTAATGTGCTAGGGCAAATGGACCCAGAATTGGAAGGGCTATGTAACTACACAGTATGCACACCACATCCATGTCGGTGTCACAGATCCTCTTGTGCATTCAGTGTTCTTAAAAACACATCAGAGTCTGCAGAGAAGCTCAGAAAAACTAAATTGAAGGACAGGTGGAATACAATGACTCTATGTGAGGAACTTGCCAGCCCACATCTTTCAAAGCCAGTTCAGTTTATATAGTACATGCATTATAGTCATATGAAATGTTGTCTTGGTGCTTTCTTCTTGGAGGACTATGGCAGCAGCTTTAAGACTACTAACAAAGATTACACAGGTCATCTTATCCACAGGCAAACTGCTTTGTACAACTAGAACATTAACAGTTCTTTTTAAGTTCAGATCAAACTGTCACAAGACAGAGTTGATGTATTTTATATATACTGGGAAACTTTAGAAACAGCCATTTATTATTTGGATTAAATGTGTGATTTGTTCTGCAATATGGAATACACTTTTCAGTTTATAGCCAGTCTTCACATGAGCAGATTCATACCATTGCAGTACACAGGAGTTCATAAATAAAATTCTACTCAGGCAATAACTAGCAAGTTTTTGAGTCAATAAAGTCTGAGTATTAGATAGTTCTCTTCACCAAAGATGAGTCTCTCGGATTTCAGCAATAATTTGACTGGCTCCTTGTAATGCCTGCATTAAAGGAAATAAAAATTTTAAATGCTTAATATAAAGTTTAATTAATTGGAATCATGCAGGGTAATTTTTCCAATGTATATGTGGTAGGTTTATATAACCAGTTTATATTCTAGCTTGGTTTGTTTCTTGATTAGATTCTAATTCCAGAGAACATATTGGTTAATATAAAGACTATGCATACATATGTATATACGTATGTATATGTATATACGTATATACACATGTATACATATATACATATGCATATGCATATATATGTATATATGCATATGCGTATATACGTATATATACGTGTGTATATACATATGCATATGCATATATACGTATATACGCATATGCATATATACGTATATACATATGTATGCATAGTCTATATTCTACGCATATACGTATATATGCATGTGTATATACGTACATATGTGTATATACGTATATACACATATACTATGTATACATGTATATACGTATACCATACATATACTATATACACACATATATGTGTGTATATAGTATATACATATATATACATATATGTATGTGTTTATACACATATAGTATGTATGTACATGTATAGTATGTGTTTATACATATATACATATATGTTTATACACATATAGTATGCCTGTATATCGTATGTATGTATACATGTATATATGTATATGTATATACATATGTGTTTATACACATTTAGTATAGTATGTATGTATATAGTATGTATATACATGTATAGCATATATGTGTTTATACATGCATTAAACATAATATATGTATATATACTATATATACCTATATGTATATATATACCATACATACATACTATACATATATACATATGTATAGTATATATACATATATATACACACACATATATATATACATGTATATTTGTGTGTGTATATATATAAATATCCAGGAATCAAAACTGCATTTAAAACTCTTCTGTCTACTGCCCAAGTATAAAAATTCAAGAGTTTCACAGTACCTTTAGCATATCAGCTGCTTCTTTTCTGCGCTGTGCCATGTCCTCAGATTCAGTCAGAAGATCATCCAATAAGGATGATTTATACAGCTGGCCTACTAGCTCACTCTGAAGAGTGTCTTTCACATGATTAACCAAAAAATGCATTACTGCCTTTGGCACACTGCAAAACAAAGCCGAATTATGGACTTTTAGCCAAAATTCTACTTTTAATAATTTGGGCTTAGATTCTGACCTCATGAAATAAGAACACTGTACTACTCTGGGTATTTCATTAATGGCATAATTGCCCTTTAGATTTTTGCTTAATTATAATTAAAGATTAAGAAAAGCAACAGTTCACTGGCTAATGCCTGTAGTCCCAGCACTTTCGGAGGCTAAGGTAGGTGGACTGCTTGAGGCCAGGAATTTAGTTTGAGACCAGCCTGACCAAGATGGTCAAACCCCATCTGCACTAAAAATACAAAAATTAACTGGGCATGGTGGTACATGCCTGTGATCCCAGCTACTCAGGAGACTGAGATACAAGAATCACTTGAACCCAGGAGGCTGAGATTGCAGTGAGCCACGAACTGCACTCCACCCTGGGTGGAGTCTTACTCTGTCTCAAAAGGAAAAGCAACAGTCCTCAATATTTTACCTTCTTTTCATTATCCTTATTTCAAAACTCTTCGATAAGCTTTATTCAGGTTGGGCATGGTGGCTCACACCTGTAATCCCAGCACTTTGGGAGGCCCAGGTGGGTGGATCATGAGGTTAGGAGTTCAAGACTAGCCTAGCCAACATGGTAAAACCTTGTCTCTACTAAAAATACAAAAAAAAAAATGGCCAGGCGTGATGGTGGGTGCCTGTAATCCCAGCTACTCGGGAGGCTGAGATAGAGAATTGCTTGAACTTGGGAGGTGGAACTTGCAGTGAGCTGAGATAGCACCACTGCACTCCAGCCTGGGCAACAGAGCAAGACTCCGTCTCCCGCCCCCCTCAAAAAAAAAAGCATTATTCATAATAGCCAACAAGTGAGAAAAACCTAAACATCTATCGGCCGATGGATGGATAAACACAGTATGACATATCCATATAATCTAATATTATTCACACATAAAAACATACATCACTTAATAACAGGGATATGTTCTGAGAAATGCATTATTATGTGATTTCATTATGTGAACATCAAAGAGTGTGCTTACACAATTACAGATGGTATAGCCTACAACACACCTAAGGTAGATAGGATAGCCTATTGCTCCTAGGCTACAAACATGTACAGTATGTTACTGTATTAAATACTGTAGAGAACTGTAACATAATGGTAAGTATGTATCTAAACATAGAAAATTACAGAAAAAATAAGGTATCATAATCTAAAGGGAACACATTCAAATATGTGGTCTGTTGACTAAAACATTATGTGGCACATGACTATACTGATTCAATGCTACAATATGGATGAGGCTTAAAAACATTAAGTGAACCAAGTGAGGTGGCTCACAGCTGTAATCCCAGCACTTTGGGAGGCAGGCAGATCACAAGGTCAGGAGTTCGAGACCAGCCTGGCCAATATGGTGAAACCCCGTCTCTACTAAAAATACAAAAATTAGCTGGGCATGGCGGTGGGAGGCTGAGGCAGGAGAATCGCTTGAACCCAGAAGGCAGAGGTTGCAGTGAGCCAAGATCACTCCAGCCTGGTTGACAAAGCGAGACTCCAGTTCCAAAACACACATATATTAAGTGAAAGAAGCCAGGTACAAAGACTATATGAATATTAATCTTATAGGAGTATTAGATATATTAGTATATGAAATGTCCCAAAGAGGCAAATCCAGAGAGACCATAGGTTGTTGGTTGCCAGATATAGGAGGGGGCAAAATGGGAAGCCCCTGCAGTTGAGTACAGGGCTTCTTTTGAAGTAATGCAAATATTACAAATACCACGTAGTGGTTAAGACCACATAGTGGTGAGCATTGCACAGCTTTGTGATATATACTAAAAATCACTACAAACTACACTTAAAAGAGGGTGGACTTTGTGGTGTATGAATTATATCTTTAAAAAACAAAATCAAGTCTGGGAAAAGTAGCTCACACCTGTGATCCCAGCACTTTGGGAGGCCGAGGCAGACAGATCACCTGAGGTCAGGAGTTCGAGACCATTCTGGCCAACATGGTGAAACCCCATCTCTAATAAATATAGAAAAAATTAGCTGGGGTTGGTGTTGCGCGCCTGTAATCCCAGCTACTCAGGAGCTGACGGAAAAGAATCACTTGAACCTGTGAGGTGGAGGTTGCCATGAAGTGAAATTGTGCCACTGCACTCCAGCCCAGTGACAGAGCGAGACTCCATCTCAAAAAAAAAAAAAAAAAAAAAGGCAAGTCAGTGTTACTAGCCTAAATAATGAAACTACTAAATTAAAATTTGGGGGAAAAAAATTTCTTAAATGACTCAAAATGTGGCAGCCAGACAGAACAAAAGAATCTCTCATTTTTAATAGCTTTTTCTAGCTGATACATGAGGTCCTAGGCATTCTATGTTAACAAACTCAAGTCTTACTACAAGTTACCCAAGGATTATCAGAGAATCCACTTGATTTAGGATAAAAACTAACCTAAAATTTTTTTAAATACATGTATTTTTCAAAAACAGATCACAGAATCAGCCAGCAGTATTAAAGCCTGTGATTTATATTAAGTAATACTAACCTGTCTTGAATATTCTTTCTGACAATGAGAAAATATGATTTGATGAGTCGTTCAATAACCTCACAATCTCGCTGTTCCCGAGCAGATAGTTTTCGTGCAACAGGAACTGGCTAAGTGGGGAAGAGGGGGAAGAATATTACTTTTATGACACTTTGAAATGCCAGCATTTAACATCTGAAAGTTACTAAGTTTTGAGACTTTTAGTTCTTTTTGTCTAATTGTTTTCCTACTAACATGGTTATCTTACTAGACCTAAACCAAATTGTCACGGCTTACCACATCCAGCAGATTCACAGCGTGACCCTTCTGTGGACTGGCTGGCATAATTGGAATGGGTTTTGATTTTTCTTCTGCTAATAACTCTTCAGCTTTTGAAGTTTTCAGCATTCCTCTCCAGTTGCCTGTTGCTGGTTCTTGAACAGCATCTCCAACCCCACCACCTCCAGATGCAACCTGAAAAAACATGTTCCAAAACCTGTACCAACTTTAATCTATGCAGACAGATAATGAGATCAGAAGGAGACAGTAGATGGCATGTATAACTGGAACCCTGAGCTATCTAAGTAAGAGGTTCTACTGTAAGTTGTTTGCAAGGCATCAGCCAATTTATGTTCTATTTAATTCCCTTTTTCTTTTATCATTCACTGACTTTTCAAAATTGTTCCTCTTCTCCCACCCTTCAAACACTAAATTGTAGAAAGAAGTATAAACTGCCCTTAAACACAAAACAACTCATTAAAAGCACAAAGAACTGCCAGTTTAATTTCTTAAGTAAACACTGTTAAACTCTCTCCCTAAAATTCTATTAACTTATTATGTCTCTGAACTTAAGAGTTTATATATTTCCAAGTCAATTTACATTCCTAGCAGTCAACAAAAATGCCATAAGGTATAAGAACTCTTTAACAAATAGCAAGACATTTGTTATTCTTAGGCTGACAGTCACTATAAGTTGTTTCAAAGGTAGAATGTGACATAAACACAACAGAAGTCCCTTCAACATCTGTACTTTTAAGGATTTGCTGCAAGAAATCTAGTGCTACCATTAATCACAAGTGCTTTTGCACCTTGTTTTCATAAAATTAGTCTTGACTTCTAAAAAACAAAAATGACTGCTTATAATGGAAAAACATAATTCATCAACATTTAAGAGGTTTTTTTTATGTATTATTTAAGATGTTATAATCTAAAAATGGATTACATAAATTTAATAGAGCATTGCGGCATTATTTCCTTCACCACTGTTAGAAAAATGGTAGTTTGGAGTATCATTCTGAATCAAAATATTTGCTAAATCTGTGTTTAGTATTTCAGTTAAGGTGAACTATATTTAAATATAAGTAGTATATTTACATTACACATTAACTTAAAAATGAGTAATTAGAATTTTAAATGTTTGTTAACTATACATGAATGGTATACCAAATAAAATTTTAAAGAGAGTGAACACATTCAGTGTGATGTCATGAATGAAATAAAACTTGTGCAGTGATTTAGATGGTTCTCTTAATATGTAAGCACAGTGGGCTGAGAGAAGATAACACATTTAAATATGGACAGTTAAAAGAAAGGAGCTAAATGGCAGAAAATCTTGAAATAGGCATGACTCTGAATAATTTATACATTATTTAATTTTCATCTAAAATGATTGTCAAGAATTGAAAACAGTCTCAAACTCTCACAGTCCCCGTTTTTGATTTGCTTAAGCTTCTAAAGCATATGTGAAGCGATATATATCGTAACAGTGCAAACTAATTGGAAACCTAAGAAAGAAGCAATAGATTAGAGGATTATCTCTTAGTACTGAACAGATCTCAAGATCTTTAAAGAGGAAATGTCCAAAAATACAATTCCATCTCTGCAATCTTTATTTCCTACCAAAATACTAAACTTAAACCTATTATTGAAGGTAACAAAAAACAGAGAGAAAGCCTATTATTGTAACTAACACAATGTCAAAACTAATGTCATCTTCCACAGGTTGGATAAAAGGAACGTTAAGAACATAGCACAGACAAGAGATAGAGAGCACTACACAAACAGGTTTTTTAATGGTGTTATAGACAGTGTTTCAGTGAGAACCAAAGGTACCAACATTTCCATTCTGAAGCAAGAGACTCACATTTTTAGTTTCTCTTCTGCTGTCCTGAATTAACTGTTAAAAGATATGTTAAAACATGCAATTTAACAAGCAAAATTTAAATAACAATGGGTTGAAATTCAAAAAGTGTAGGATAATTTCCTCTTTAAATTACTTCTTTTTCTGTGTGCATCTTCTATATTGCAAGCAAGAGGATGTCAACAATATCAAGCAGGCATTGCATTGTTACACAATTTTAAAATACATATTAGACTCAAGTGATCTGACCTTAGCACAGTATCCCATATTAATATTCTAGTCAGTGTATTGTTTCCAGAAGATTATGTTGCACCAAAGAACTAGACATGCAGGCTTAGATTAAGAATCAGAACAGACCTTGCCATCAGCCTCAGCAGAAGCAGCAGGGGAGGGCTCCTGGGAGGCAGGTGCCAAAGCACTTGGAACTTTAGAAGACTAAAGGCAAAAAATGCAGGGGGGGAAAAAATCAAGGATGCAAAAATGCATTCAGAAACATTCTATAAATGTGAATTTTTCCCTTCTGTAACAAAACCATAAAACAACATGAAAAATGAAAATAATCATGGGAGATAAATTGTTTATTCTGCCTTATTTCCTTCATTGGTAAAAGTTTCCTTCAGATGAATACGTAAGAAAAATCCAAATCCAAAAGCTTCATTTTTATTTTTCATATTTGATAAGATTATTTTCTGGCAAAGAATTCAAGGTAACAGATTTTTATACACACGTTACTATTACAACTATTATAAGTATTACTAGTAACTAAAACCTGTTCTGTGTGTATTTTTTCCAAGAAACCCTCTTCTCCTAAGTCATTTCAACTATTTATAAAGTTGATAAAATCACTAACTGAATTTTTTTAAAGTTCATGCTTAAATAAATGCTTAAACCTATTTTTTTTAGTTAATTTTTTTTGAGACAGAGTTTTGCTCCTGTTGCCCAGACTGTTGTGCAATGGTGTGATCTCAACTCACCGCAACCTCTGCCTCCTGAATTCAAGCAATTCTCCTGCCTCAGCCTCCCGAGTACCTGGGATTACAGGAATGTACCACCACACCCAGCTAATTTTGTATTTTTGGTAGAGACAGGGTTTCACCGTGTTGGTCAGCCTGGTCTCGAACTCCCAACCTCAGGTGATCCACTCACCTGGGCCTCCCAAAGTGCTGGGATTATAGGCGTGAGCCACCAAGACCGGCCACTTAAACTTGTAAGCATTTGTGTCAGTGAATTCAAAATACTATTATTTTTAAATCACTCAAAGCCCATTGTAAACTTGTATGCCTTTACTCTAGCTCCAATGGAATGTTAAAGAGAGGAAAAGAAGAAAAAATTACTCCTAGAACTGATTAATATTCTGAGCTCATCAATCCATCTTTAGGTATTGGGAATACTCATTAAAAAACTTTTTTTTTTTTTTTTTTTTTTTTACCTTGTCTCGTGATACAGCTGAAGGTAATTCTCTGGCTAGCCTGTTTCTCCTTTGTTCCTAAGAAACACAAATCGAGCAAAACAAAAGTGATTATTTGAATACTGAGATATATGCCTACTAAAAAATGTTCATGTTAATTGAAAAGTATGGAGTAACTTACAGATACATCCTCTCACTGTTGGGGCTCATGCAATAATTATATTTTAAAATAAATAAGAAATCATTTAACCCAATGCTTCTCAATCTTTTTTTTTTCTGCCCACACACCTGAAGGATACAATACAGTGTCAGTAACAGTGGCTCCCTGTACTGGGGATTCTCAAATGAGAGGCAACAGACTGAATCTTCTCCCTCTTTCCCACTAAGAGTGATATAAACTGTCCTCACATAAATCTGGAACATAAGCCTTCAACATACCATGTGGAATTTGAAGTGCAGAGAGTCACAGAAAACTCCATAAAGCCTTTTAAAGTCACTCTTACCCGAACACCTTTGTGTTAAATTCAAACAACTCCCCTACATAAAACATTACCATGAAGAAGTATCTGTGGTTGAGGTTATCCTTATAAAATGTTTCTCAACTACCTCCAAAAAATAAAGTGTTGACAACTAATAGTCCTTTCTGTAACATGGCTAATTTAACAGACTGATCAATTGCCCACAATTCTAATTTGCTAATATTATCAAAGTAACTTGTACAAAGCTAAAGAAACTGTTAAATTCAAATGAGATTGTCCCAAGCATCTGCTATATCCAAGCACCAAGATAGGCACATGATCATGAAGATATTGGCTGGTCACGGTGGCGCACACCTGTAATCCTAGCACTTTGGGAGGCCAAGGTAGACAGATCACTTGAGGTCGGAAGTTCGAGACCAGCCTAGCCAAAATGGTGAAACCCTGTCTCTACTAAAAATACAAAAATTAGCCGGGTGTGATGGTGCACACCTATAATCCAGCTACTCAGGAGGCTGAGGCAGGAGAATCACTTGAATCCAGGAGGCAGAGTTGACGGTGAGCAGAGATCACGCCACTGCACTCCAGCCTGGGCAACAGAGTAAGACTCTGTCTAAAGAAAAAAAAGATTATGAAGATACAGAAAGCTGATAATGAAAGGTGTTAATGATGGATCTCTCACCGTCTGCAGATCCATCAAATACAGTAGAAAGTATTTAAAGTTGAAATTGCTCCTAAGTATAAAGTATTACATGAACACAAACTTGCAAACAAGTGTAAGTTAACCGTTAACTTACACTTGTTTGCAAGTTTGATTTGTGTTCAGGTAATACTTTCTACGTTATAGTTTTGTTTTTGTAAAAGCTTTGTTATGGTTTTTCACTTTGTCACCCAGGCTAGACTGCAGTGGCAAGACCTCAGCTCACTGCAACCTCCACCTCCCGGGTTAGATCAATTCTTCCTGCCTCAGTCTCCCGAGTAGCTGGGATTACAGGCACCCCACCACCACACCTGGCTAATTTTTGTATGTTTAGTAGAGACAAGGTTTTGTCATATTGGCCAGGCTAGTCTCGAACTCCTGACCTCAGGTGATCCGCCTGCCTCTGGCTTCCAAAGTGCTGGGATTATAGTCATGAGCCACTGCACCCAGCCCTCAATGATGTTTTACGTGTAAGATTTTTTTTTTTGACAGAAATTTCACCCAGTTTTATTTTTTCATGGGAGGATATTCAGTAATAAAAAACATAACATAAAAATATAAATATCAACAATCTTCGACCGGGTGCAGTGACTCATGCCTGTAATCCCAGCGCTTTGGGAGGCCAAGGCGGGTAGATCACTAGATCAGGAGATCAAGACCATCCTGGCTAAGATGGTGAAATCCTGTCTCTACTAAAAAATACAAAAATTAACCAGGTGTGGCAGCACACGCCATAATTGCTTGAACCCTTGAGGTGGAGGCTGCAGTAAGCCAAGATCATGCCACTGCACTCCAGCCTGAGTAACAGAGTGAGACTCCATTTAAAAAAAAAAAAAATCAGGCCGGGTGTGGTGGCTCACGCCTGTAATCCCAGCACTTTGGGAGGCCGAGGCGGGTGGATAACGAGGTCAAGAGATCGAGACCATACTGGTCAACATGGTGAAACCCCGTCTCTACTAAAAATACAAAAAATCAGCTGGGCATGGTGGCGCGTGCCTGTAATCCCAGCTACTCAGGAGGCTGAGGCAGGAGAATTGCCTGAACCCAGGAGGCGGAGGTTATGGTGAGCGGAGGTTGCGGTGAGCCGAGGTCGCGCCATTGCACTCCAGCCTGGGTAAAAAGAGCGAAACTCCGTCTCAAAAAAAAAAAATCTTCAAAATAAAAAATTAGCATGTTAAAATGTATGTTTTGAACAGGGATACAAAGTGAAAGGCACAGTAGCTAGAATTCTCACCCTAGTCTGTTACTAACCAGTTATGACCTGAGCTGGGCCTGGACCCCAGCAGACCTGATGTACCTGCTTTGCTAACTGGACAGTTTACCAACTCTTCTGAAGCCCTAGTGTCCTAATCTGTTAATGACGTTATCTGCCCTCAGGGTTACGGTAAAGATTAAATGACTTAAATGAAAATATCCATATAAAGTTGTTTGGCACAGTCATTAAAACCAGAAGCCTATTCATTTGTAGAAAAATAGTAATCTGAAATTTCATCACATAAGATCTTCTAAGTATAACAAAACTATGGCAGACACAAGTTTTTCATGATGTTAGTTTCCCTTTTTTTTGAGACAATCTTGCTCTGTCACCAGGCTGGAGTGCAGTGGCACAATCTTGGCTCACTACAACCTCTGACTCCCTGGTTCAAGTGTTTCTCCTGCCTCAGCCTTCTAAGTAGCTGGGATTAGAAGCATACGCCACCATTCCCAGCTAATTTTTGTATTTTTAGTAGAGACCGGGTCTTACCATATTAGCCAGGATGGTCTTGGTCTCCCGACCTCATGATCCACCCGCCTTGGCCTCCCAAGGTGCTAGGATTACAGGCCATGGTACCTTGCCCATGAAGTCAGTGTCAATGTAAAAAGAACTAAATCCTTTAAGTGTCTACATGCTAATTTTTAACATAACTGTTATCTAGCTTACTTTCTGAATGTTTTGAAGTGCCTACTCAAGTATATGTCTTGGATTTTTTCTGGTAACAGGAATCACCCCGAAAATTAGTTCCTATGTAACCAAAAATTAGTTCCCTAGATCAGTGTTGAGAAGAAGGTGCTGGTTTCCTATAATAGCGCCCTCCAAAATAAGCACCAAAGGAAGAATGCTGTCTGTAAGCCTCAAGCTCCCCATCTGTTTTGGAGAGTTTCACTCTTGTTGCCCAGGCTGGAGTGCAATGGCGTGATCTCAGCTCACTGCAACCCCCGCTCCCAGGTTCAAGTGATTCTCTTGCCTCAACCCCGCAAGTAGCTGGAATTACAAGTGCCTGCCACCATACCTGGCTAATTTTTTGTATTTTTGGTAGAGATGGAGTTTCACCATGTTGACCAGGCTGGTCTCGAACTCCTGACATCAGGTGATCCACCTGCCTCGGCCTCCCCAAGTGCTAGGATTACAGGCGTGAGCCACCGAGCCTGGTTACCCCATGTTTTAACCAGAGTTGAAGTCAGTAACCTAGGATCCCTTCCAGTTTCCAAATTCCATGTTTACAATTTTCTCACCATGCATATGCAGAAGAGGAAATTTGGTATAGAAGGGGACTCTGAAGTCTTACTGAATTAGGGGGTAGCAGAAAAATGTACTATTTTTGGAGAAAAGTGGCAGAAAAAAAAAGGCCTTTGGATAAATTGCTCTATCCACCAGCCTTGGCTCCATCTGAGCTTTTACTCAATTTGCTACATTACCATCAAAAGGAAAGAAAAGAGCCATGAAATGCAGCAACCCCAGTAGTGGTGAAAAAAGCACTCTGCTTTTCCAAATGTATGCTAAGTTGGGTAATTCTTGAGTGTTTCCTTCACAGCTTTCAGAGACAAATGAAAACAATTTTAAACACTCACTTTGTTGTACACACTTCCCCTGTAAAAACTACAAGTTACCAAAATAGAGCCGGTCACACTAAATAAATGTATTCTCAGGTTCTTTCTGAATTTCAGTTTCATAAGCAGAAAGTAATAATGCCTTCAGGTGGTTTTAAGAATTAAGAAAACAATGTAATCCCCTCAGCCTACTTCCTGGCATGCAGCAGGCACTAGTGTGGCACACGTCTATTTTATAGTTATGCCATGCTAAGTAAGTTTGATATAACTGAGTTACAACAGATTTTTCCATCTGTGAAAAAACGTTAACAATTACATTTACCTCTATATTATTATTCATTAGCCCACAAGCATCAGCAAAGTCTGGATGTTTTGTGTTGATATAAGCCAATTCAATTGCCACTAAGTTATGGACCTAGAAAAAAAGTAAGTTACACTATATACAAAAATACATTAACCATATTTTACTTTTGAGAAATTTATATATAAAACTTATAAAACAGACAATACTGAAAAAGTACAGGAAACATATGCTTAAATAACTACTTGATAATTATATTCCAACTGATAACTCTTATGCCAAATAATGATTTACTCTAGCTTTAAAATTATTTACATTTTACCATCTAAAATTGCATTTCTAAGAGGGAAAAATAACACTAAAGTAACTACAAGTATTTTACTGTTAGGGAAAAACAGTTATCTTCCTGATGCAAGTCTAAATTCCAAGGCTTTATGCAACTTTGATACTAAAACTTCAGATCATCCACTATTCCACATCACTTTTTTGAGGCGGAGTTTCGCTCTTGTTACCCAGGCTGGAGTGCAATGGCGCGACCTCGGCTCACCGCAGCCTCCGCCTCCTGGGTTCAAGCAATTCTCCTGCCTCAGCCTCCTGAGTAGCTGGGATTACAGGCACGCGCCGCCATGCCCAGCTAATTTTTAGTACTTTTAGTAGAGACGGGGTTTCACCATGTTGACCAGGATGGTCTCGATCTCTTGACCTCGTGATCCACCCGCCTCGGCCTCCCAAAGTGCTGGGATTACAGGCTTGAGCCACCGCGCCCGGCCTCACATCACTTTTTTAGTTCATTTTTAACAACATAAGTTCATAACCAGACATCAGTTAAGATGTTCACTTTTTTTGAACTTTATTTGCGTAAAGGATATATCTAAAGACCTGAGGTAGTGACTAATTAGCTTTAACTATAAAGCACCTAGTTTAAAATATATGTAGTTCAAAATCCTAAGAGGACAATAAAAAAGGAAAGTTGGAATTAATTTATCTAGACCTCTACAGAACTGCTAAATCTTTTTTTTTTTTTTTTGAGAAAAGTTTCACTCTTGTTGCCCAGGTTGGAGTGCAGTGGCACTATCTCAGCTCACAACCCCTGCCTCCTGGGTTCAAGGGATTCTCCTGCCTCAGCCTCCTGAGTAGCTGGGACTACAGACACGCACCACCACGCCTGGCTAATTTCGTCTTTTTAGTAGATGGGGTTTCTCCACGTTGGTCAGGCTGGTCTCGAACTCCCAACCTTCAGGTGATCCATCTGCCTTGGCCTCCCTAAGTGCTGGTATTGCAGGCATAAGCCACCATGCCACTAAGTCTTACAGAGAGGATAAACTTAAGCCCTTTACTATGTCCTGTCCTAACAAACCTCAGGCATCAGAACAGCATTTATCAGCCCAGAACAAGGTGAAAAGGATCTATTAAAATGAAGTTCCAGTGATTCTGTGCTAAAGGCAGTCTTAGACATCAGAATCGGAGGGCTATCCTCATTAAGGAAACAACCAAGCAACAGCACTTACATTCCAAGGATGGTTTTGTACTCTTAGTAAACCTCCACGGGGCTCACCATCCTGAGCCAAGGACCCAAATGCACTTTTAGTGATCAGAAAGAAAAAAAAAAAAAAAAACCCAGCCAACAATTAGAGGCATAAGGGCAATTTTAAATGCTTATCCCATATTTCTGCCAATTTTAGCATTTTGTGTGTGTGGGTGTGGATAGCAGCAACCCACAGAACAGTAGCAAGCAACTATGATATTATAGTTATTAGGTCATAACAAGCAAACTGCAGAAGTGGCCGGATTACTCTGATGTATCTCAAAGTTAGAGTGTATATAAAGGCTCAGTTTACTGAGGCTAAAGATGGAACTAATTTTCTCTTAAAATCAGTGGACTACATAATACAGCAAAGCTATTCATAACCGTCAATCATAAATCTATTCTCAAGAAAACCCATGCCTGCAGGCTAACGATGTTTATAAAGTAAAAATGCACTTTATACCAAAATTATTTAAAATTTTCCTTTGAAATGAGGTGGAAACTCAACTTTTTTCCTCTCAGTACACTGGAAAACATTATGCCTAAACTCTAAAGTAACCATATAATGCTCATTAAAAAGCAGCCAAGCAAAAATACAAATTTTTACTAACAGTAATTACAAGGATCTATGATATAGTAGCTCACCATTTCATTTGTAACAGGCAACCTTTTACGAAGAAGACAAGTCACCACTTCAACTATGGCATCGTGAAGTTTAGGAAATCGTAACAATTCCTATAAATGGCAGATGAAAGAAAAACATAATTTTTTTTAAAGACATATTCTCACTAAGCCATCCTCCCACCTTAGCCTCCCAAGTAGCTGAGACTACATGTATAAGCCACCATGCCAGGCTCACAGTAATTTTCTTTCACTTAATGATCACAGAAATACTGAATTAGATTTGGAGACTATATTTAAAGAATACCGTTTCAGTTGGGCAGCCAAAAAAAAAGAGAATGCTATTTCAAATCACTTTCAGGTAAGGGAACTACAGATTTTTACCTTATATTCTATCTTACTCATTTCCTTCCACCCAGTGAAACCACCACTTCATGTCCACTTCATGTCTTTTTCTAATTTATGTGAAACCTGTTACATTTCCCTCCGTTACCTGTGTACTATAATTGCTACAGTGCTGAATGATCCTTTGCATTTCCTCGTGAACCAGTTCCACACAGCGGAGGCTGGGCTCTTCTAAACGTTTGATTTGACGCTTGACCAGTAATTCAAAAGAAACTTCAGGCACAAACAAAGCAGGACGAGGACCCTGAAAAAATAAAACTTAGAACTCTTATTATAGCTATATGTAATTTCAGTTCTTCCCAAAAGTTAAGAAAATAAGTCACATTTTTAGTATTTTTCATGAAAAATGCTTTTTAATTTCAAGTATGAGAGCAAAGTAACAAACTATAATTAAATTTAAAAAGACATAGTATGTGGGTAAGAAAAACTTTAGCCTCACTTTTTTAAAGTCTAAAAGCTAAGCATACTCACAGTAGCATTTCTAATGGCAGTCAAAATGTCAATAGTGTTAAGGCCACCAAGTGGATCAACAGATTCTAAGGTTCGCCCAAAAGTCTCATGGAAAATATAACAAATTCTAGCACCACCGCATCTGAAAGGCAATGAAGTATATGGTTTCTGGCATTGTGAAAAGGGAAAGAAGTTACAAGTTATAAGTCTTTCTGGAAGCTTTAAGCTCATCTTATTTTCTGAGAAAGCCTCAGATAATTTCATTCACTCCTATTTCCGTGTGTTCTAACTCCAGTCATTATGAACTAGTTTGAAGTAGTTTCTCTAAATTTTTTATATGGGAAAGGAATCATTTCATGATAGGGGTGTGTGTGTGTGTGTGTGTGTGTGTGTGTGTGTGTAAAATATATACTTGTAAATATAATAATTGTTCTGACATAAAACATCAGTTAACTAAGAATTGCTAAGCACCTTTTCTCTGCCCTAGTTTTCCTCCACTAGAATATAAGCTCCTTAAGGACAGGAAATAGTGCCTTATATGTATTCCCATTGATTCATAATCAAGAGTAGAGGTTGGCAAACCTTTTCCATAAAGGGTCACAGAGTTAATATTTTAGGCGTTTTAGGCTATACAGTCTCAGCTGCAACTACTCACCTCTACCATTAAGCATATAAGTAGTCATAGACAATATGTAAACAAATAAGCATAGCATGTTAGCCAGGCTTGTCTCGAACTCCTGACTTCAAGTGATCCACCTACCTCGACCTCCCAAAATGCTGGGATCATAGGCGTGAGCTACCGCACCCAGCCTTATTCTTGCTTTAGACAAATTAAATCTCTTTATCTAGGTACTAAGCACCTTATATTTCCTATCTTGTTTAATAACTAGAAACCCTAGAATTATCTTTTTTAAAATTTAAGTCCAATTGAATTCTACAAATACCTGTTATAATGCTTCCCCAAATCATCCCTTCCTCTCTATTTTTACAACCACTATTGAGTGCATTTTTATAGTAGCTCAGGCAAAAGATACTGGTCTAACATTATTCTAACAGAAATAAGCCAAGCACAAAAGGACAAATACTGAATGATTCAATTCATATGAAATATCTAAAATAGGCAAATTCATAGAAACAGAAAGGAGATTTGGCCAGGTGCAGTGGCTCACACCTGTAATCCTAGCATTTTGGGAGGCCAAGATGGGCAGATCACCTAAGGTGGTCAGGAATTCAAGACCTGCCTGGCCAACTTAGTGAAACCCTGTCTCTACTAAAAATACAAAGAAAATACAAAAATTAGCTGGGTATGGTGGCAGGCACCTGTAATCCCAGCTACTCAGGAGGCTGAGGCAGGATGATCGTTTGAACCTGGGAGGTAGAGGTTGCGGTGAGCCCTGACTGCGCCACTGCACAACATCCTCCATGATGGAGTGAGGCTGTCTCAAAAAAATAAAAAAGGTAAAGTAGAGGTTACCAGGGCTGGAGGACAGGGGAATGAGGAGTAACTACTTAATAGATAAGAATTTCTATTGCAGCGATGAAACATTTTAGAAATAGATGTTAATGATAGTTGTTCAACGCTGTAAATGTAAACCATGCTACTCAATTGTGCACTTAAAGTGGTTAAAATTACCAGTAATTGGTCTTTCTGCCTCCAACCTTACCCTTCACCAAATAATGTTTCATAATGACTACAATTATCCTTCTAAAATAAATTATTCAGCCAGGCACAGTAGCCCACCCTAGTAATCCGATGGCAGATCAGTTGAGGTCAGGAATTCAAAACCAGACTCGTCAACATGGTGAAAACTAAAAACACAAAAAAATTAGCTGGGCGTGGTGGCAGTTTCCTGTAATCCCAGCTATTTGGGAGGCTGACACAGGAGCATTGCTTAAATTTGGGAGGTGGAAGGTACAGTAAGCTAAGATCATAGCGCTGCACTCCAGCCTGGGAGAAAGAGTGAGACTCTGTCTCATAAAAATAAAATAAATTTTTCCTCTGACCAAAAGCGTTTTTTTTTTAATAAGACATTCTCCAAATTCTGAACAAAGTATTAAAGACTTTCTAGAATCTTGTTCCTAGACACCCTTCCTGCCTTATCTCTTATGTCCCATCATTATACATGCCGTTCTCCACATACATAATTCTTGCATTATTCTTCGCTGTCCCCAAGCTTAAAATGCCCTCTCATTACTGCCTTCTCAAATTCTATTCAGAGCACAATTCAAATGCTTTCTTAAATGTGGAGCTTTCCCAAAGCCTGAAATAAATGTAAATGGTGTCTCTTCAATGTCTCAAACGCTTGATTAGGTGGACACAGATCATTGGTTTATTAACTATTTACAAAGTGTACACACAAGCTGTATGTACTTTTCTAAATATGAATTATATCTAACAAGAAGTATTTAAATAGAATAGTTATACTTTTGCAGCCTAATCAAGCCCCGTATTATGATGACCTACTTTACCCAGTAAACTCTTTAAAGGCCCATGGTGGTAGTCTTTACTTCCCTCAATATGCCATACATATAAGCATTGAATAATTACTCTGATAAATACTCTCATTATGGAGTTGACTCATGAAAAGCACCTCGGTCACACTAAAGTATACAGAACAACATACACACAAATGAGTTCATGTATAATTGGTGAACTCTGAACAAGCTCTGTGGATTGTACCCATCTCCATTTTCTCACGGTTATTGTACTATAGTTACGCAAGATGTCCAACAGTGGGGGAGGTGGGGGAAGGGTACACAGTGGAGGGTGCTGGGACCTCCCTGTACATCACCTTGCAACTTCCTGTAAGTCTATAATTATTTCAAAATAAAAAGGTTTTCTAATGAAGGTGTAGAGAAGCGGATGTACTTGCTAGTAGTAAAACAGTACAATATGCTAACAGTATGCAGTATGTCATGAAAGATTCTAAGGATGTTATATCGTTTAATAAACCTACTTCTATGAATTTATCCTCAGTGCTTACCTGGACACAGTGCCCCAAAGATAGGTGCAGGTAGTCCATCACAGCACTGTTTATATGTATATATAACAGAAAACAAACTCTCCAGTAGTAGGAGAGTAGCCCAATAAATAAGGCTGTATCTAAAAAGTAAAATACTATGCAAATCTTCCAACTGATAATATATGAGAAAGTTGTTACATGGTTTAAGAATGATTTCAAAAGCAGTATAGCATCTAATTTTTAAAGATGTATAATACAGGCATTTCTGTGTTATAGATGCACAGAAAAATGCCTAGGTCAATGCCAAATTTTAGGAAGTACTTCGGATTGGTGAAATTAAGGGTTTGTTTTTGTTTTAAGAGATGGGGTCTCCTTTTTTAGTGCTGTCTGCTTGCGGTACCGCCTCCTGCTCCTCCCACCGCTGCTGCCACCCTGAGTCATGGCCTGCGCTGCTCTGGCCACCTGGCTCCCCATACTAGCCACCGATATTTAGAGTTCTTACAACATGGCAGACACTGACAACCTGCCTACAGTAGTTAAAAGAGGAGTAAATACTCTCAACAACCTGCAAGTTAATGTGCACAGACAGAAGCCAAATTCTATGAGGAAGTTCAAGATCTTGAAAGGAAGTATGCTGTTCTCTATCAGCCTCTATTTGATAAGCAATTTGAGATTATTAATGCAATTTATGAACCTATGGATGAAGAATGTGAACAGAAACCAGATGACGATGAGATTTTGGAAGAGTTGAAAGAAAAGGCCAAGATTAAAGATGAGAAAAAGGATAAAGAAAAAGAAGACCCCAAAGGATTCCTGAATTTTGGTTAACTGTTTTTAAGAACGTTGACTTGCTCAGTGACATGGTTCAGGAACATGATGAACCTATTCTGAAGGACTTGAAAGATATTAAAGTGAAAGTCTCCGAAGCTGGCCAGCCTATGAGTTTTGTCTTAGAATTTCATTTTGAGCCCAATGAATATTTTACAAATGAAGTACTGACAAAGACATATAGTATGAGGTCAGAGCAGATGATTCTGATCCCTTTTCTTTTGATAGACCAGAAATTATGGGCTGTGCAGGGTTCCAGATAGATTGGAAAAAAGGAAAGAATGTCACTTTGAAAACCATTAAGAAGCAGCAGAAACACAAGGGACATGGGACAGTTCATACTGTGATTAAAACAGTTTCCAATGACTCTTTAATTTTTTTTTTTTTTTTTTTTTTGGCCCCTCCTGAAGTTCCTGAGAGTGGAGATCAGGATGATGATGCTGAAGCTATCCTTGCTGCAGTCTTTGAAATTGGTCACTTTTTACGTGAGCGTATAATCCCAAGATCAGTGTTATAACTTTACTAGAGAAGCTATTGAAGATGATGATGATGAAGGTGAAGAAGCAGATAAGAAAGGGGAAGAAGGAGATGAGGAAAATGATCCAGACTCTGACCCGAAGAAGGATCAAAATGCAGCAGAGCGCAAACAGCAGTGAAGCAAGAAGTGTGTGGCCTTGAGGATACTGCACTGTAATAGCCTAAACACAACTCTTACTTACTTACAGCCTTTTGTATTTTCTTGGTAGATGAGGTAATTTTATTTTAAAGACAGGAAACTGATATTTTAAAGACCAATTTGTTCTAATTAGCATTTTAACTAGTTTTTCTGCCAAATATGTTGAATGCACAAATTCTGTAACACATGTTCATTCCTCGCTGCATAATTTGGTTCTTCTGGAATATTTTTATGTAGCTCTTGGAGTACAGCTATGAAAATGTCAAGTGTTAAAGGAAACCTTTTTTTTTTTTTTTTTCGTAATTTTTTCCCTGAAGAATGAAAGTATTTTTTCAGCTAGTTGTTGAATATGGTTAACTCCACTTGGATTAGCTGTGCCTTTCATTACTCTGTTACAGAAACACAGTGACTTATATAAGACAATTCATTGTTTTAAAAGAACAACTGGCAAGACAACTATATGGTTAAGAATTTCCAGTATGACTGCACCCAATAACTGTATTAGATTGTTAATGGATTATTGTGTTATAAGTGACATAGTTAACTATAAAGTAACCTGACTCAGTATAGTTACTGGTACCACAGTGAGGTGAATAAAACAGGATTTTCAGAAGTTAGCCTGAATTTAACTGTACTTTTAAATTTAACCTCCATTAAACTAAGCATCTTTTCTTTGTGGCAATGTCTACCTTCTGCTTTCCTGGAAAGGAAGAATTTATATCATTTGACAAGCCTACTTTCAAGTTATTCATTGTTTGCTTGGTTTTGGGTTTGCAGCCTAAAATAAAAATTTCAAATACAATTTTAGTTCTTACAAGAAATAGTGTCTTAATTTTGTACCAATTCAGGTAGAAGCAGAGGCCTAGCTTGAATTAAGGGTTATACTCAATTTGTATCATATTATTGAAGAAAAGGGTACCAGCTTTGGAAAGAGATACTATACTAATAAGCAAGTGTGAAAAAAAAAAGAAGAAGAAGAAAATCTTAAGTGATTCTTTCAAAAAAAAAATAATAAAGCTCATTTTCTTTGGGTTAGAGCTAGAGAGAAGGCCCTAAGCTTCTGTGGTTTCTTCTAATTCTTATTGCTTAAATTATGAGTCTGTCACTTACCCATGCTTCTGTTTACTAGGTATTAAAATGGGTACTACTTTTTACTTAAATACCTCATGGATGGGTTAAGGCATATTGAGTTAAATCTCATAAAATGTTTCTCAATCTCACTAAAAGCTCAAGATTTGGGGCCTATTTGCAGTGTGACACTCAGCATTTTGTTCACACCACACTTTGATTAACTAAACTGAAAAACAAAGATTAAGTGCCTCTGTCCTAGATCTGGGCAGGCAGCACTCTTTCAGACCTTTGTGTGGCTCCTATTTTCATAGAAGGGAATGGATGCACTATTTCACAAGGTCCAAGAATTTTTTTCAGATATTTTTGATTGTATTGCAGTAAATATTACAGGGATCGCACTACAGTATTGTAGTCATGAGACTAAAGTGGAAATAAGACTATTTTTGACAAAAGATGCCATTAAATTTCAGACTGTAGAGCCACATTTACAATACCTCAGGCTAATTACTGTTAATTTGGGGATTTAACTTTTTTTTGACAACAAGGGTGGACTATTGGATTGTTATTAGAAATAGGTCTAGATTTCTTACCCTTAAAATTACATTGAATTCGTTTTTAGAGGTGATAAAAACCTCCTATTTGAGAAGTTAGTGTTAAAGTCTTACAATGTGAGCACATTGTAGTGCTATCCATTCCTCTCCTGAGATTTCAACTTACTACTGAAAATCCTTAACCAATTATAACAGCTTTTTTCTCTTTATTTTTAAAATGATTTCCTTGAATGCTGTGATTAGACACTCTGCTTTTTATTTTTATCATTTTTTTGTAACCAAAGTTCAATGCAGCTTTTTCTGAACTTTAAAGAAAGAATCCTATTTTTAATGAACTGAAGTAGCACAGTCTTTTTTTTGAGACCGTTTCGCTTGGTAGCCAGGCCGGAGTGCAGTGGCGTGATCTTGGCTCACTGCAACCTCCGCCTCCCAGATTCAAGCAATTCTCCTGCCTCAGCCTCCCAAGCAGCTCGGATTACAGGCACGTGCCACCACAACCAGCTAATTTTCGTATTTTAGTAGAGACGGGGTTTCTCTATGTTGGCCAGGATGATCTCGATCTCACGACCTCATGATCTGCCTACCTGGGCCTCCCAAATGCTGGGATTACAGATGTGAGCCACTGCGCTCAGCCCATCTTTTTTATTCTTTTAGGGCAGGCGTCCCCAAACTATAGCCAGCGGGCCGCATGCGGCCCCCTGAGGCCATTTATCCGGCCCCCCGCCACACTTCAGGAAGGGGCACCTCTTTCATTGGTGGTCAGTGAGAGGAGCACAGTATGTGGCGGCCCTCCAACAGTCTGAGGGACAGTGAACTGGTCCCCTGTGTAAAAAGTTTGGGGATGCCTGTTTTAGGAAATAGCTATTGCCAAAGTGAAGGTGTAGATAATACCTAGTCTTGTTATATAATGGGGATGTGGTTTGCAGAAGAATTTTCTTTATAAAATTGAAGTTTCAAGGGATATCAGTGTTTATGCCATTTTTCCAGTTCCAAAATGATTCCATTCCATTCTAGAAATCTGAAGTATGTAACTTAAAATCCTCAATAAAAATTTGGATTTAATTTTAAAAAAGAGAGAGAGAAAGAGAGAGAGATGGTGTCTCAATATATTGCCCAGGCTGGCCCCATTCGAACTACTCCTGGGCTCAAGGGATTTTCTTACTGCAGCCTCCTGGGTAACTGGGACTACAGGGGCACACCACCACATAATTTTGTTTTTAAGTTTTATCTTTACTTATCTGCATTTTATAATTTTTTAAAAACAATTATACTGTATTAAAGAAACACTTTAAGAGCTAAATTAAGAAATATTTTTAAATACTTATTAAAATATTGTTTTAAAAATACCTGAAAATTTTTACTTTGCTTTACATTGTTTATAAAACATATGTTCACACAATGAGACATCATCCTATTACCTCTACGAAATTATATTTCTGTTTTATAGATAACAAATCTCAATCAGATACTCTGAGCTAAAGTCATCTTAACAAAAGGAAAAGTGGCCAAGCAATCTAGGTAACCAAATCTACAGAAAAATGTCTTACTTACAGCTCCGAAGTTTCAATATATTTTGCGGTTCCTTCAATAGTGTTACAATATTCTGTGGCAAATTTGGTAATAAGCTGGAGTAAAGTAGCACTTTTATCATCCACAGGTTCACCGTAGCTATTTAGAAGAGACTGATACTGAGCAGCTAGAACATTTATTCTTGTTTTCAACTCTGGTAAGCAATCTCTGATGTGATGCATCAGTAACCTAAAAAAGGTCAGAAAGGAAGGATTTAAAAGTAAAATTGTATATTCTGAAGCCCCAAATAAATCAAATTTTTAAAAAGGAAATAATGGGGAAAACATGTCAAATAATTTGTACTGGCAAGTGTGATACTGTGAAATACGTATTTGGTCTTTGTCTCCATTTCCTGGCAGTTGATCCTAAAATCCTTGGAGTCTCCAAGAGCCTAAGAGTGTTTAAAGTGTCTTTGCATGATAATAAGATGACTGGTGGCTGAGGGTCCCTTGATAGCTTCAGGATGGGGCCTGGTCACCTCTAAGGCATGATTAGAGGGCTAGGGCTTTCAGCCCCATTCTCCAGCCTCAGAAGAGGGGAGAGAGGCCACAGAATTGAGCTGATCACCAATGGCCAATGACGCTTCCATAAAAACTCAAAACGACACAGTTCATGGAGTCTTCGGAGAGTTGAACACATGAAGGTTCCTGGAATGTGGAGGGCACAGAAGCTCCACATTCCTTCCTACATGCCCAACCCTATGAATCTCTTCATCTGGCTGTTTTATCTATATCTTCTGTAATATGCTTTATAGTAAGTGGGTAAACATTAAGTAGTTGTTTCCTTGACTTACGTGAGCCACTCTAACAAATTAATCAAACATGAAAAGAGGGTCATGGGTACCCTGACTTACAGCCCATCAGTCAAAAACAGGCTACAACCTGGCTTAAAATTGCCATCTGACTTCGGGGCAGTCTTGTGGGACCGACCCCTCAACCTATGGGAGCTGATGCTATCTCCAGGTAAATCAGTGTTAGCACTGAATTAAAGGACATCCAGTTAAAATCCCCTAGGAATTCCTTATTTGCTGTATGGGGGAAACTCCCCATCTATCTGATGTTAGAAGCATTCAGTGCCATACTGATTGTATATGAATGGGAAAAAAAACACTTTGGTTTTTCCTAAATCATAAAAGCAAGGAAAAAATGCAAATTATTTTCATATTACTGCAATTACCATAGAGAAAGCAAATCACTCAATCAATTCCTCCTATATAATTTTGGCTTCACTGACTTGTCATTTACAATTGGTACCCAGCAAAGTGAAAATCAATCTTATTAAGATCCAAGTCTATCAGTCTTTAGGGAATAAGATAAAAGTAAGAGAAAATGGCTTCCACTTCAGTCATTTATAAATCATATAGAAAGGTCTTCTAGTTCACCCCACCATGAGTGGGTATTCAGAATCCAACATATACAACTTAAGTTATTTCTACAATAAATAGGAAAAAAAGATATTCTATTTCTTTCCTTGTTTTTCCATCTCCCTTTTCTGGCAAATAGAAGACATTCTAAATTAAGAACAGATAAGGAGAAAATTATAAATTTTAATGCAGTTCCTGCAATGCAAAGTGGAAGTGAAGTCATCTCTAGTTCTACCCTCGAAACTAAACTGTCAAATTTTCATAATTAAATCATTTTAAAATCACTTGAACATTCATTCTAGACTACATGATGACATAATGTCAACCACCCCAATAAAAATAGAGACATCTATTCTTCAGGAGCCTACTATATAAGAAACCATAAGGGAAGCTGTTAGACAATAGTATGAAAATGTAAGGAACTGAAAATGAACCCTCTCAGACAATCGACTGGTAAAACGAACACATCTCATTTCCAAAAGGTAAAAAAAAGTACCTGTTTAGAGTCCTAGCAAGATATTTTGTTCCATTTCTATTGGCCAGAGATGGATATTTCTTTTGAAGAAAAGCATACTCATCACGGATTGAATCAGTTACACTCTTCTTGTTGTTAATATCTAGCTGGCTCCTGAGGTGGAAAAAAATAACAAAATTGTTCAGCTTCACAGTTGTCCTCTTCCTACCTTAGATGATGACAGGGCCAGGCATTGTTCTCTAATACCTGACATGGACTAATTTATTTAATTCTCATAATTTTATGTGACAGGTATTATTATCCCATTGTTTAGTAAGGAACTGAGGCTCACAGAGACTAACTTATCCAAGGTCATATGCTAACTGGCATAGCCAAGACTTGAACTATTTGAATTGTAACTAGTGCCTAAATAGTGTAGGCCTCATTATTACCATTAACTATAGACAAAAACAATAAGTAACACATATAGACAGGTATAAAAATGTAAAGAGTATCTCAGTGACCTGTATATTTTATCCATGGACGGGGAACTAATTTCTATCAAAACTTAAGTTAAGTTGAAGAACAATCATCTACAAACAACGAACAGCCACTTGCTTACCTGAAAAAGGAGACAGTGGGAAATGGGAGTGGGGATGAGGGAATGAGAGTAGGGGTGGGATGGAAGGACAATAAAATAGAAGCAGACAACTGGAATGGATCCTATATATCAGGTAGTAAAAACATTTCCATTTTCTTTCCTTTTTTTTTTTTTTCGAGACAGGTCTCACTCTGTCGCCCAGGATGGAGTGCAATAGCACAATCTCAGCTCACTGCAACCTCTGCCTCCTAGGTTCAAGTGATTATCTTGCCTCAGCTTCCCAAGTAGCTGGGATTACAGGCACGTGCCACCATGCCCAGCTAATTTTTTATTTTTAGTAGAGACGGGGTTTCACCATGTTGACCAGGCTGGTCTTGAACCTCTCCTGACCTCAGGTGTGATCCACCCGCCTCGGCCTCCCAAAGTGCTGAGATTACAGGCGTGAGCCACCGTGCCCAGCCAACATATTCATTTTATAAACGCTTAAGACCCAAAGACATTAGGTGTCATTTAAACCTACATTGTATCTAGTTTATGGAAGAACTGGGACTAGAACTCAGATTTCATAATAATTTCCGTGTTTCCTATCATATGAAGGCTTTGGACTAAAAGAGATACTCATCCGGAAATCTTTTAACTACCCATGTGACTTTGGGTTAAACGTATAACCTGAGGTTTCTGATTATAAAATAGACATCAACACCTACCCACCTACCTCAGGGGATGCTGTGAGGATTCCAAGAGATACCATTTGCAAACTGCTCACAGTAGAGTGTCTAAAACATAATTAGACACTCAATAATAGTCTCCTTTTCACAATTTTTAATACCAGCTATTTATATTTAGGATACCTTTAATAAAATTTCTCCAAGTTACATCCTGGCAATTACACAGAATCACTAATGCTAGGGATTAAACCAATCTATTAAAATCCTGCCACCTTAAATTCTTTCTGGAATGGGTGCACATTAGGTAATTTTTCCCTTACCCAGTGCCTCCTCATACACAGCTTAACATGATAGGCAAGAACTCTTAAAGCCTGGCTATTACAACACTTCTTCCATTTTGTGGTACTGCTTACTTTAGAAACATTTTCTATTAAAAATGTCTACTGGGCAGGGATAGTGGCTCATCCCTATAATCCCAACACCTGGGAAACCAAGCGGGGAAGGACTGCTGGAGCCCAGGAAGTCAAGACAAACCTGGGCAACATAGCAAGACTTTGTCACTACAAAAAAATTTAAAAATTAGCCAGGTGTGGTGGTACATACCTGTAGTCCCAGCTACCTGAAAGGCGGAAATGGGAGGATCACTGGAGCCCAGAGGTCAAGGCTACAATAAGCCACAATCACACCATTGCATTCCAGCCTAGGCAACAGAGAGAAACCCCGTTTCCAAAAAAAAAAAAAAAATTTCTATGAGAGGCTTTAGTGAATGAATCTCTTTTATCCCTTTAGGGCAATGGGTTCTTTAGCAATACCAAGGTAATAGTAATAGGGAGAAAAAATATAGGACACTATCACATTTCAAACAGATTTTAGAAATTCAGACTTGCTCTGAAGTGAGAATGCTACTAATTCTTATCCCATTTTTAACTGCTAACCTGTTAACTACTCCAATTATTCCAAGTTTGACTGGAATAACCCTTCCCATCAACACATCCATGGCATCAGTACCCGCATCCATGAGATCAAGTTTAGTGATTACAGCTAGGGTTCTGCGACCTGGTAAATGCAAAAAGAGAAAAGGGCAAAGAAAAGAAAGAAAGAAAATGATCCATTAAATAAACCTATTAAGTATTAATAAAGGAAAACCCTCATCTATAATCCCACTTAATATTACCTCTGTCATCATTTTGATAATGCCTTTCTTACCAGTGCTTTTTAAAAAATAATTTTAAACATTGTGTACCATTTTAAAAATATCTCCGCCAGGCACAGTAGCTCATGCCTGTAATCTCAGCACTTTGGGAGGCCAAGGCAGGTGGATCACCTGAGGTCAGGAGTTTGAGACCAGCCTGACTAACATGGTGAAACTCCGTCTCTACTAAAAATACAAAAATTAGCCAGGCATAGTGGCAGGCACCTGTAATCCCAGCTACTCGGGAGGCTGAGGCAGGAGAATCGCCTGAACCCAGGAGGCAGAGGTTGCAGTGAGCCAAGATTGTGCCACTGTACTCCAGCCTGGGAGACAGAGACTCCATCTCAAAAAATACATATATGCATATACATAAACATATTTCTTTCACATGTAATTTTTTGTTGGCTCTTTTGGCTATATTATAAGCATTTAAAAATTCCGTTTAAAATTTACATCCAGGTGATGAGGCTTATGCCTGTAATCCCAACATTTTGGAAGGCCAAGGCGGGCAGAGTGCTTGAGCCCAGGAGTTCGAGACCAGCCTGAGCAAAGTGGTTAAACCCTGTCTCTACAAAAAATACAAAACTTAGCAGGGTGTGGTAGTCCTAGCTACAGGTGAAGCTGAGGTGGGAGAATCACCAGAGCCTAAGAGGTCAAGGCTGCAGTCAGCCGTGATTGCGCCATTGCACTCCAGCCTGGGCAATGGAATGAGACCCTGTCTCAAAAAACAAAAATTAAAAACATTTACTCTTTTTTGGTGTACAATTCTAAGAGTTTTGACAAATGCCAAGAGATGTGTCACAACCAACTCAAGACACTGCTGCTCTCCCACCAAATTTGCTTATGCTAACCAATCAAACCTATTTTCCATTCCTAGTTTTGACTTTTCTAGAATGGTATATAAACAAAATCAGACAGTACATAACCTCTTGAGTCTGGCTTCTTTCATTGAGCATAATGCATCTGAGATTCATCCATGTTCTTGTATATTAATAGTCCATTTCTTTTTCTTGCAGAGTAGTGTCCCGTTATATGGATGTACTGTACCTTAGTTTCACTCCCCTTCTGAGAAATATGTGAGTTGTTTCTAGTTTTTAGAAATTATGAATAAAGCTGTAGACATTTGCATATAGTTTTTTATATGAACACTGGTTCTCATTTAACGTACACCTAGGAGTGAGACTGCTGATTTAACTTTATAAGGAACTGCCAGACTGTTTCCCAAAGTGACTATACCACTCCCACCAGCAATATATGAGAGTTCCAACTGTTCTGCATAGTGTACAATTTTATCTATGGCATTTTTCACTGATAAGCATTTTTCTTTTTCTTTTTTTTTTTTTTTTTTTGAGACAGAGTCTCACTCTGTCACCCTGGCTAGAGTGAAGTGACACAATCTCGGCTCACTGCAACCTTCGTCTCCTGAGTTCAAGCGATTCTCGTGTCTCAGCCTCCCCAGTAGCTGAGATTACAGGTGTGCACCACCACACCTGGCTAATTTTTGTATTTTTAGTAGAGATGGAGTTTCACCATGTTGGCCAGGCTGCTCTGGAACTCCTGGCCTCAAACAATCCACCCACCTCAGCTTCCGAAAGTGCTAGAATTACAAGCATGAACCACCACACCTGGCCTATAAGCATTTTTCTGTATTGCTCCAAATCTACAAAATCATCCTTTTTAATTATTTCATATTATTGTAATTAATCCTCCCAACTGCTGGCCATATTAAATTGTTTCTAATTTTTGATACTATAAATAATACTGGCTTAGATTATTTCCTTACAATGTATTACTAGATTAAGATTAGTAATCAAGCCAGGTGCAGTGACGCACTCCTGTAATCCCAAAACTTTGGGGGACTAAGGTGGGAAGATCATTTGAGCCCAGGAGTTCGAAGTTGCAGTGAGCCATGATTGTGCCACTGCACGCCAGGCCTGGGCAACACAATGAGACTACCTCCAAAAAAAAATATGACCATATTTATGGCTCGAGAGTCAGTTTAAAATATAGTAAATACATATAAAAGGCTTAACAGGTTTTGTCTGTTTATGATGGTCTGGCTCTGTTGCCCAGGCAAGAGTGCAATGGCACGATCTCAGCTCACTGCAATCTCCGCCTCCTAGGCTCAAGCCATCCTCCCACCTCAGCCTCCTAAGTAGCTAGAACCACAGGCTATGCCACCATGCCCAGCTAATTTTTTTTGTATTTTTTGTAGAGATGGGGATCTCATTTTGCTGCCCAGGCTGGTCTCAAATTCCTGAGTGATCCACCACCTTGGCCTCCCAAAGTGCTGGTATTACGGGCATGAGTCACAGTCTACTTTAAATAATAAAAATAAAATGTAAATAAACCCTTTGATATAGTTTATCTTTTAATGTAACTGAAATGAACATTACTCATGTGGTAAAAAGGTTTCTTAAAAACTTGAAATAAAACATTTTGTTAAAGTGACCCTGCTTATGAGAATTTTTATTGGCAGTCTTAGAACTATTTCCTATCGAATTTTTATTTGAAATTATTCTTCAAAGCAGGGAAAGAAAAACATAACACAACCTTCAGACCCTCTAATAGTAAGGCGGAAAAATGGTTTCTATAGGAGGCATAGTAACCACTCTCTTACATGCCAGCATTTTATATATACTAAGATACGCACACTACGTCATTCGTCAAGCATCAGTGACCCACTGTATGAACTAATCCTTGGGGTTAAAATGTTTCATGAAAGGAGTTTACCTTCATTTCTAAAAATCCCCTGTGCCTTGAGCATGTCTAAACATTTTCTACCTCTGCAGAATGTAGATACCATAATTCTCTATTGTACCATAATAGTCTACAATGATTATCTACCTTTTTTTTTTTTTAACAGAGTCTCACTATGTTGCCCAGACTGACCTCGAACTCCTGGCCTCAAGCATTGCTCCTATCTAAGCCTTCTTATCAGCTGGGACCACAGGCACATGTGACTACACCTGGCTATGGTATTTATTCTTAAAGGTCAACCATTCAAGTACCTAAGTCGCAAAACAAGAAATCCTTTTTGCAAAGCCACTATATTATTTTAAAATTATTAGGTAACCATTACAAATAAAGAGGTGAAATATTTTCTCCTAGTCTGTATAGCAACTTAATAACCTTATTTTCCATCAGAATTTCTGTTTAAAATTATAAACAAAAATAGGAAAGCATTATTTTTAAAATTTGTATTAACAACTAGAGATACTGTTTTTAAAGAGAAAACTTCCTTTCTCAAGGGTAGATTTACCATTGTAAAATAAGCATCTCATTAAATATTAACATCTGTCCTTACCATCTGGATCTACCTCTCTTGAAATTTTAAGTGCCTCTGATGTTGCCATATCTGTATTAGCAGCAGTGACAGCGAGGATAATGGAATTTGGATTACTGATGAACCGAAGAATGAGCTCTCTGATCTGAAGCTCAATATCCTTAGGTTGATCACCTACAGGCACCTAAATCAAACAGAGATGGGCAAGGAACTAATAATTAAAAATCAACTCAGCTTTTTTATGCACATTTAATGCACAGGATATAGGTCTATCCATTTATAAATAGTTAAAATAAAGACATTAATAATATACTACATTGGTAGTTATGAATCTGGTAACGTGTCAAGTCTCAAAGTACAACTCTTGTGAATATCAAAAGTTGATTTAATACAATCCCATGTTAAGCACTGGTCAGTGTTAATTGCCTAGATACAAATTCATTCATTCATTCAATTACCAAGTGTTTACTGGCAGCCTACTCTATTTCAGGCACTTTTCTGAATGTGATTTCAGGTCACGTCAGATTATGTTACAGCAGTGAGTATTAAAAAGACCAAACTTCCTGCCTTCACAGAACTTATGTTTTAGTGATAACAGGCAGATAATAAACAAAAGCATATATATAGTATCCAGATGGCGGATATCTGGCCTGTGGAAAAATAAGGCGGAACAGTAGGCTAGGGAATGATTAGAGAAGATTATGATTTTTTTTTTTTTTTTTTTTGAGATGGAGTCTCGCTCTGTTGCCCAGGTTGGAGTGCAGTGGCATGATCTCAGCTCACTGCAACCTCCACCTCCTGGGTTGAAGCGATTCTCCTGCCTCAGCCTCCCAAATAACTGGGCTTACAGGTGCGCGCCACTATGCCCTGCTAATTTTTGTATTTTTACTAGAGATGGGGTTTCACCATGTGTTACTCAGGCTGGTCTCGACTCCTGACCTCGTGACCTACCCGCCTTGCTCTCCCAAAGTGCTGAGGTTACTGGCGTGAGCCGCCCGTGCCCAGCTTTTTTTTTTTCTTTTTTTTTTTCGAGACAGGATCTCACTCCATCACCTGCAGTGGTGCAATCACAGCTCACTGCAGCTTTGAACTCCTGGGCTCAAATGATCCTCCTGCCTCAGCCTCCCAAAGTACTGGAACTACAAGTATTAGCCACTGCACCTAGCAAACAGAATTATCATTTTAAATTGTTTTAAATTAGATTATGTTTTTAAATAGAGTAATTAGGGAAACTTCAATGAGATAACTGACATTTGAGAGAATGAGCAGAAATTAAGCCAATAAGGGAGAGGTACATACAGACATCTGGGGAAAGGACATTCCAAACAGATTGAACAATAAGGGTAGGAGGCTGAAGCAAGAGGAGTTAGAACAACAGGGACATATCAAGTAGATACTTCATATGTCTGTAAAAACTTGGGCTTTTAACTCTTGAAAGGGGAGGGGTTTTAAGCCAGGAATGACAAGGAACTGGAGAAATTTTAAGCCAAGGAATGATACAATTGAATTTTCACTTTAATAGTATCACTGTCTGCTAAGATGAGATCATGAGGAAGACCTATTATTTATTACTATGCAGTAATCCAGGTGGCATGATAGTGGCTAGATAAGGACAGTAGCTATGAATTTATAAAACATGATTGAGCTCTGGGTATACTGTAAAGGTAGGGAGAGTCAAGAGGAATTGCTGGCAGGAAGTGAGATGTTGGAAAAATTAGTGTCAAGGATGACTACAAACTCTGGCTACGCAACTGGTAGAATGGAGTTGCCACTTATTTATTTAGAGACAGTCTCATTCTGTTGGCCAGGCTGGAGTGCCATGACGAAATCATAGCTCACTGTAGCCTCAAATTCCTGGGCTCAAGCAATCCTGCCTCTGCTGGGACTACAGGCGTGCAACACCATGCCCAACTAATTTTTTTATTTTTTGTCGACACATGGTCTCCCTGTGTGGCCCAGGTTGGTCTCAAACTCCTGGGCTCAAAGAATTCCTCCCACCTTGATTTCCCAAAGTGCTGGGATTATAGCATAAGCCACCACACCTGGCCTGAATTGCCATTTATTGCAATGGGGGAAGACTATAGAAGGACCAAATCTAGTTGAGGAACAGGTCAGGAATTTGGTATTAGACTTTGAAATATCTATTAGACATTTAAGTGTATACGTTGAATAGCAGCTAGATATATGAGTCTGGAGATATTTGAATGCCATCAATATACTGAGCCTTATGTAGTTAAAGCCATACAATCTGATGAAATCATCAAGGGAAAAGTGTACCTAGAGAAAACATGAAGTCCGCAAACTGGGCTCTGGGGCACTTACTGTTTAGACATTGGGGAGATGAGAAGAAACAGCAAAAGAGACTGAAAAGGAGTGGCCAGTGAGACTGGAGATAAACCTGTAGAGTGTGGTATCCTGGAAGCCAAGTAAAGAAAGTGTTTCAAGGAGAAAGGAGGGCTCAACATTATCAAACGCTGCTAACAGATCAAGGTGATTGCAAAAAGCAGCCGACTGATTATTCTCATATGGGATGTCAAGGAAGTGAAAACAACCTGACCAAATCTAGTATACCCTCCTTACCTTGGTCATTCCTGGCAAATCCACAAGTGTCAAATTGACAACGTTGGGTGAAAAAATCTTAAGATGAATTGGTTCAGGGCTTACTCCCTAGAAATATATTTTAAAATATTATGTTAAAATCACACTAAAATTTCAATGAACTATGAAGTAATAAAGTAAACTTTATTTCAAGTACATAGACATTAATGCTTTTAAAAATGTATAGAATCATGATCCCTGAAACTTTTTTTTTAACAATCAAAACCTGATGAAACACATGGGAAGTTAGCCAGCCATATTAACAGGTTATAATCCTACCTCTATCCCTTTATCATTTATTATACACAATGTATTATTTCACATTCTTTTCTCTTGATTATAAACGTATATCTTTCCCCTTTTTTTTGAGACAAGAGTCTCACTCTGTCACCTAAACTGGAGTGCAGTGGTACAATCACAGCTCACTGCAGCCTCAAAATCCTGGGCTCAAGCAATCCTCTTCCCTTAGCCTCTTGAGTAGCTCCAATACAAGGCATGCACCACCATGCCCAGGTAATTTCTTTTTTATTTTTTGTAGAGACAGGGTATTACAATGTTGCCCAGGTTGGCATATACCATTCCTTAAATGTGTTTAATAGATTTAGCACTGAATAATGTATTCCTTACTATCCAAATTTATGACGTTGCCAAGTTCAGATATCTTTGAATATCAAGTGGCAAGAATGTGTACAGTAAGAGATTCCTCAAGGTGTTTAACTAAATCTTTAATCTCCAGTAAGAATTTGGATAGTGAGAGATACGTGTATTTTCTCTCCTGTAGACTAATATTATTGTGTAGGCTCCCTCCTCTTCACCACTGGCCCTCTACAAGTTTTAGGAATGAATCAGCTACATGTAAAAAGACACTTACGAGATGTTTATACCTCATCTTTGTACATGCCCTTCTTTATCCTTTAATATACTCTCTCATCATCTGTTTATCCACTTAAGTCTTCCCTTATTAACTCACTGAAATTTCTCATTTCCCAGCAAGTTTTTTTTTTAATATCCTTTACTCCATGTTCGCTATACAATTATATTTGCTATTTTAGATTACTCTGTGCTACTTTTCCATTTTAAATACTCCAATTTTCCAAAGCCAATAAATGTCAATATCTGGCATACCTACTTAGGTTGTATATTTCTCAGGATCTTTATTTCCATGGCATTCCTCTGTCACGTCCATACAAAGCTTTGCCCAATGCCTTTACAACTCCTATCTCATAGACATTTTACGTCATTCAGGGCTTTATATTAGGTATATGCAGTAATTTACATATTCTGACATAAAAATCATATAAGATCCAAGTATCATTTACTTAATTACATACATGATTTAGGAAAGAAGAGATGTTTCATAGATTTGGGGTTGGGGGACTTTTCATCTTTTAGACACTGTGGATGTAAAGCTGCTAGTAAGTAAATTATATCCTCAACATAAACATCTTTTAGGTATATAGACTCAATCTTTAATGACATTCAGTTTAGTGTAACTAAAAACATTTCTGAATCACCACAGTCTCACACACTGTAAATTCCAGTACTGTATAAAATTACCACCAATTGCTAAGTTCAGTAATTCTCTCTGTAGGAGAGAGAATTCAGACTGGTGTTATGATTAATCATATTCCAAAAGCCAAAATTATCCCTGATATATTAACGACAAGCTAATCTAGCTTCTGGTCACATTTCCAACCCCTTCTACACACATGGTTACTAGAGATTTAGGGAAGTATGGCAGCCGTAGCGGTAACTCAAAGGTTACCAGCCTAGAGTTTAATTAAGAACAAAGCTCAGTTGGTCACTGCAACAGCAGCAAATATCCTGAACAATAAAAGAGAGTTAACATGGCTCTAAAAATGCCTTTTTGTTAGGAAATAATCTTTCAGCCCAGTAACTGGCAGATACAAGGGTTCAATATTTGTTGAATATTAGTACTAGGCTAGGGCCCACTTGAGGGATTAAATGTGCCTCTGGATAATGAAAGAATGGAGCTAAGAACAAAAAGGAAGGGAAATAAAAAATTTAGACAGATGTATGTAAAAAATGTAAAGAGAAAAACAATAGGAAGAAAGAAGAGAGAAGACAGCAGGATTCAGGCAAGGTAGTGATAGTGCCTAGTGTCAAGATTAACAGTATCTTAGATACCTAACTTACTTTACATTCTCACAAGCTCTCAGAAAATAAGAAAATAATCAGTTGCTAAAGTATTACTTTTCATTTTCACTAAAAAATACCCAATTTTTCTCTCTTTGCTTTACAAGCAAATCTAGCCTTACACAGGTAAGAAAAAGAACTTCTCTCTCTCTCTCTCTCTCTCCCCCCCCATATATATAAAGTTATACAATGCTTCCTGAGTTATAATACAATCAATCCATCAGAAAAAGATAACTTGTTGTAGGAATATTAAGTAGAATTATAAAGTGGTATGTACATGACAGGAAAAAGAATAAACATCTAAATAAAATATTTGATTTATATGAAAGTAAAGAAAAGGGATTTTACACAAAGTTCTATGTGTTTGTGAAAATACTCCATTTGTTTCAAAGTCCATTATGAATTTACAATGCCCATCACTTCTTAGCCTTTTGGCTAAGATCAAGAGTATGAATTTACAATGCCCTTCATACATTATGTACAGAATACCTCAATTATATATTTACTGATGTTTATGCCTTCTAGCTCTAAAAAGATGCCTACCTTATTATTTCCTGATATTCTTTCTGTTTCATTTTCAATTTCTTGTCGAATTTCATCAAAATCCGTGTAAAGCTAAAATTTTTTGAAATAAAGAGCATAAAATTCAAAGTAAGATCAAAAGTTCTTAAGTTGGAGGGGGAGTCCATGTATTTCAAAAGGATGTCTATGTATTTGCTTCAGAGAATATATAAACAAATTCTAATGTATACATATCATTTTCTGAGCTACAGATTCATAGTTTTTATGGGTTTTTTTGTTTTTTAAGACAGGGTCTGACTGTCACCCAGGCTGGAGTACAATGGCACAATCATGGCTCACTGCAGCTTCAACCTTGCATGCTCAAGCCATCCTCCTGCCTTGGCCTTCCAAGTAGCTAGGACTACAGGTGCATGCCACCACGCGGGGTTAATTTTTTTTAGTTTTTATAGAGACATGGTCTCCCTATGTTGCCCAAGCTGGTCTCGAACTCCTGGGCTCAAGTGATCCACCCATCTTAGCCTCCGTAAGTATTGGGATTACTGGCATGAGACACTATGCCTGGCCATTATGAACTTTTCAAAGCTTCCTGACTCCACAACAATTAAGATCACCAAATCAGAGAAAATCAGGCTCAATTTCAAGTGTTTTCCAATAAACAACTGTGGTTAGAAACGTTACTAAGATTTTTTTTTTATAAGGAATAGTTATAGTTACTTCAATATAACATATACTGCCAATGATTAGAAACTAAATTATCAAGTACTCATACAAAATATTATTTTCAACACTATGTCTTCATGATACGCATGTGTGATTACCTTATTTTTGGTGTGAAGAAATTTACCCCATTCTTCTGCTTCCACCCCTGGAAAAAAGAAGAACTCATTTATTGGAAACTGTAGAAACTACTTTTTATCTTTAATTAGGAATTCAAAAAGGCAACATAATAAAACACTTGTTAACTTGTATTTAATTTTGCCATTAAGTACAAGTTAATTTTGCCATTAAGTACAAGTATTTTAAGGTCTGCTAAATTATATTTTTCTAAAATTACATTTTCTGCTAAATTATATTTTAAAAATTGTATCATGTATTTCAAAAACATGACTAACTTCAGGCAGAGCTGCTGACAGGTTTTCCCACCAGTTGATTTCTCTTCATATTTTCTGTGTAATTATATTATAGTAAAATGAATATTCATTATTTTTGAACATCTTACATATAAAAGCGTTTTCTGATGAAAGTATAGTGGCTAAGAAGAAAAACTAAGAATCCCACTGAGTAGTGCAAAAAGCATACACAACAGATTTACACGTATGACTCAAGGAAAAATTTTACCACATGTCAATGAAACAGCTAATTCTTCCATTCGTTTCAAAAATTTGGTTCCCTGTTGGTTACCTGTAGAGTCACAACTTGCTGTTCCTTTAAAGAGCGCTCTTATTATTATAGAGCTAACTGCTGTGTAATTTATATACACTTTCAAGGTGATTTTCCCCCAGGATCAAGATTGTTTTCCCTTAGAACTGGAGGCAGGAAAGAAATAAAATAGAAGAAAAGGAAAAACAAGAACCGTGGTATATGCCCTATAAAGAGTTGCCACTCTCCGTTTGTTTCCAGTCATAGGTCTGTTCCTCTTGTACTCGCTGAAAGAAGGAAAATATATTCACTGTTGCACTGTGTGAAGCAGTCTAAAACTTGGAGAGCAAGATATATTGTTTTTCCTAGAGAAACCAGAACCGTTTAATTGTGGAAAGATAATCTAACTTTATCTCCTCCAAACACAGCTATTTTGCTTTTGTCAAATTCAAAGGTTAAACTATCTTAATTAATAAGTTTATTGGATAATGCATATCAGCCACGTGAAGTCTAAATAAAAATGATTATAAGATACTCAGATAAATACAAGAGTGCATCAGTCCTTTGGCGGAATAAAGGTAAATAAAACCGGATCCTTTTTGCAGATAAAATGCTCACCTACTTGTAGCTTAGTACCTTCGTCCAAGAAGTCTCATTGGAGGACTGGAGTAATCTAGGTGAACAGAACTCACAAAATGCAAGTACGTACTACATACCAAAGAGGTGTTTCTAATTTACCTTATTATATTAAAAAGGCCTGGTTTCACAAGCATATCTTCAAAAATAAAAATAAAATAAATTACATTCACCACCAAAAAAGCTTGCATTTTGATGCAATGCCAAAAAAATAACAAGAACCACTGAAACCTGCAATCAATGTGGATAGGCAAATAAAAATAGAAGGAAAAAAAAATGCACACAGCCTGTAATAGTACATAAGCACACATGCAGGCATAAGAGAAAAAGGGTCAAAAGCAAATGGATAAAGGAAACCTTTAGAAAGGTGTCTTGAGTTTTTCCATGTAGCAGGGTCTGTAGTTAAAGAGAAACAGCACAGAATAAGTTAAGTGCTTATCCCTAAAATTTTAAACCTTATTAAAAATTCAAATGTGCAGAAACCTGATCACATTTCAAAATGCACATAGCATTCAATCATTCAAAATTCACAACTAGAATTAGAGGGATGTATATTTTTTCAGTCACAGAAACAAAGCATATTGCATGCTGTAACTTATTTTTAACATTTTTAGGAAACAAATTTTCCATTACAATTAGTTCTGTCTGGTGTGTCTGTAGATAGTTATCTCAACTGATTGTTCAGTCAGTTGCAGATGGAACTCCTTGTTCTATTCTTTCCCCGCTTCTCACTACTGCACATGACTAGTATAAAAAATAAAAATTAATTTTTTAAATTAATAATTGCTTCTAATTCTGATTCAAATGAGGCACAATTAATCCACTATTCAAAAATTTGTGCAAAGCATAATGGCTTACACCTGTAATCCTAGCACTTTGGGAGGCCAAGGCAGGCGGATCACCTGACGTCAGGAGTTCAATACTAGCCTGGCCAACAGGGTGAAACTCTGACACTACTAAAAATACAAAAATTAGCTGGGAATGGTGGCAAACGCCTATAATCCCAGCTACTCGGGAGGCTGAGGCAGAAGAATCACCTGAATCCAGGAAGTTGCAGTGAGCCAAGATCACTGTGCCACTGCACTCCAGCCTGGGCGACAGAGGACGACTCTGCCTCAAAAAAGAAAACTGCATGAGATATCTGATAAGCTACTATGGGAAAAGATACACTGCCTGATTTTTTAAGATCTACAAAATATACTAAATACATCTTTCAAGACCTTAAAAGTTGGTAAGTATATGCAAGTATTTACCCCATTAGCTAAAAATGAGATTTATAAGGGTATTTTATTTGAAATACATATTGGATTTAATAGAACACTGCAGAAAGTTAACTCTTCACCTTCGTGAACTCAATCTAAAGGGAGACTACTATGTGTATCACAGCACCACAAGCAGAAAACTTAATCCTATCTTTCTCCTTTAATTCTAATGTATAATTTTACTGCCTTTTGGCAAGCAAATGATTGCTTTTACAAACAGGTTACTTAATGAAATGGGGGTAAAAATTCAAATTACACCCAGATTTTAAAGCATTCTTCTATGAAGCATGTATGTTTGCACCTTCTTTTTTTTTTTTTTTCTTTTTTGAGACAGAATTTTGCTCTGTTACCCAGGCTGGAGTGCAATGGTACAATCTCGGCTCACTGCAACCTCCACCTCCTGGGTTCAAACAAATCTCCTGCCTCAGCCTCCCGATTAGCTGGGATTCCAGGCACCTGCCACCATGCCTAGCTAATTTTTGTATTTTTAGTAGAGACAATGTTTCACCATGTTGGCCAGGCTGATCTTGAACTCCTGACCTCAGGTGATCCACCTGCCTCAGCCTCCCAAATTGCTGGGATTTACAGGCATGAGACGCTGCGCCCAGCCTATGTTAGCATTTTTTTAAAAAAGAGAACAAAAATCTCTTGCTTTAGTTCAACAACTTTCTCTCCCTAAATAAATTCTCATAATTTTTCAAATTTCCACTGACACTTCAAAGTATCATATATAATAGCACAATTTTGGCCTTTAGTCAGCATGCTACTTTTGGATTTTGTCTCAAAGGAAAACAGAAAAGCTTGATTTATTTCTTACAAATATATGAAAGATAACTGTGGAGTTCAGTTCAAACTGAACCACCACTCCACTCTAAAACATAGTCTAGTATTGATTTTAATAATAACAGAAAATTATTTTACATTAGCAGAATAGGGGAGACAAGCTGAGATGACCATAAATCTACATATTGACACCTCAATTATCCCACATAGTTGGCAGCATGAAGAATCCTGTGCTAAATGAATTTCCTGATAATTGAGTTACACATATTAAACATGATTTTATTTTAGCCAGTTTTGATGGAGCTACATCTAAAATGAATTAGACTTCTCCATGTCATCTCAGAATGCACGACTCTGAACCTATTATTGGTAACCAGGTTTTTGTTATGTAACAAAGCCTTCACTGGCTAAAATCCCTACACAAAATGTTATTAACTGATTTCTTCTTCTTTTTTTTTTTTTGAACGTTTATGTTTTTCTCCCTTTCTCCTCTCTTATTATCAGGCTGTCAGGTAGTTTTACACTCTTCCAGCTAATGATACTGTTTATCTGCTTCATGGTTTCTAATTTTCTCTGGGTTGGAATGATTTATTATATGCTAGAATTGTTCATACCAAGGATAAAGAAGCTTTGATGCAAACCTAAGGAACTGTCTATCCTGAAATAAAACACGTGAAATCTAGTACTCAAACTTATATAATCTATATTGTGTTTGGGGTAGCTGAGTTGTCACTGTAAGCAAGTATAGATACAAAATAAGCACTAAGCTTGGAAAAAAACAATAGGTAGGCAGATTTACTGACCAACCACCAAGAGGAGACATCAACAAAACACAGTGGACATAAAAACAAAGAGACACCAAGGAGCTGATACTTCTATAGCTGAAATCTATACTCTTTCCTAACAAGCAAAATTTTATCTAAGGAAACACTGCCCATATTTCAAATAGTTTCTGAGAGACAGAATATCATGGGCCCTCTCAAGGTGAAAGAAGAAAATAAAGTTTTTTCTTTTTTTTTTTTTGAGATGGAGTTTCGCTCTCGTTACCCAGGCTGGAGTGCAATGGCGCGATCTCGGCTCACCGCAACCTCCGCCTCCTGGGTTCAGGCAATTCTCCTGCCTCAGCCTCCTGAGTAGCTGGGATTACAGGCACGCACCACCACGCCCAGCTAATTTTTTGTATTTTTAGTAGAGACGGGGTTTCACCATGTTGACCAGGATGGTCTCAATCTCTTGACCTCGTGATCCACCCGTCTCGGCCTCCCAAAGTGCTGGGATTACAGGCTTGAGCCACCGCGCCCGGCAAAAAGTTTTTTTTTTTTAAAAAAAAGAGAGAGAGAGAGAGACCTAATATCATATAATTTCTTAAGGTCTTAGTTTCAGGTGTTTGGTAAATTTGATGAAATCAGTTAGTAGGGATGAAATTTTATTCTATACATTTGAAGGTGAACCACAGATTAATCCAAAATGATAAATTCAAGGTTCAGAACTTCAATAATAAGTATTAGTGAAATGCAAAGCGACGAATAGCATACCCAAGCTACCCAGTGTAATTAAAAGGCTCCCACATATCCACTGGTGGTCTATCTAAAAATAATCCTTGCAACATCTACAACTACACTAACTTGCTTCAGTGACTAACATTCTAGAGTCATAGCAGATGCTTATGAGGTTTTTTCCCCCATTAAAAAATAATCACCACCACCAACAGCTTCTACAGTAAATGAAAAAATCAGACACAGAAATTAAAATAAGTTCACTTTTTGTCAATACTATCATCCCATCTTAAATCAGTATAAGAAGTAGAATAAAACTGCATTGAAAACAGATCTCTGCAGATAAGTAACAGATATTGGTACTCCGCTGCAAAAGTAATTTAATAATTTCAGCTATGAGAGTTCTATAAATAAGAAAGTCTGAGCCAAATACTGAATAGGAAGATTAAATACATTACTCTCATCCAACATTTCAAACCTCACTAATATAAGTATAACATAGGATACACATTTGATAAGCAACTTGAAATGTGCTGACAGACACAGACAGCATTCCCTAACGTATTTCCAATTTAATCAAAAAGAACAGTTATCAAGGACAATGCGTATTTTCTTCTTTTAATACACAAAAGAATCAGAATTAGGACTACATGATAACAGCAGAAAAGGGATGGTGAGATAACATTGCTTAGCTAAAAAACAGTCATTTTAATTTAAAAAAAAAACTTTAAAACACTCCAAAAAACACTTAAAATTTTTCTTTTCTCTTTCTTTTCTTTTCTTTTTTTTTTTTTTTTTTTTTTTTTGAGACAGGATCTCACTCTGTTACCCAGGCTGGAATGAAGTGGCACAACCACAGCTCATTGCAATCTCAACCTCCCAGGGTAAACCCATTCTCCCACCTCAGCCTCCTAAGTAGCTGGGACTACACGCCACCAACTCCAGCTAATTTTTATGTATTTTTGTAGAGACAGGGTTTTGCTATGCTGCCTAGGCAATATTTTTTCTTTAAAATAATTAATTTCTGTTTACTGTCTCACTGGATCCTCCATTATATAATATTAACATCAGTTTACTAAGCTGAGTTACTCAAAAGGAACTATTCCCAACAACTTTACTCATGGTCTTTCAAAACATGGCCAGATGTGGTGGCTCACGCCTGTAATCCCAGCACTTTGGAAGGCCAAGGTGGGCAGATCATTCAAACTCCTGAGTTCCAGACTAGCCTGCCAACAAGGTGAAAACCCATCTGTCTCTACTAAAAATACAAAAATCAGCTGGGCGTGGTGGTGGATGCCTATAATCCCAGCTACTTGGCAGGCTGAAGCAGGAGAATCGCTTGAGCACAGGAAGTAGAGGTTGCAGTGAGCCAAGATCCCACCACTGCACTCCAGCCTGGACAAGAGTGAGGCTCCATCTCAAAAACAAAGTAAAACAAAAACTATACTCTTTTTTTACATTAAGAAAGATGCAGCCAGGCGCGGTGGCTCAAGCCTGTAATCCCAGCACTTTGGGAGGCTGAGGCGGGTGGATCACAAGGTCGAGAGATCGAGACCATCCTGGTCAACATGGTGAAACCCCGTCTCTACTAAAAATACAAAAAATTAGCTGGGCATGGTGGCATGTGCCTGTAATCCCAGCTACTCAGGAGGCTGAGGCAGGAGAATTGCCTGAACCCAGGAGGCGGAGGTTGCGGTGAGCCGAGATCGTGCCATTGCACTCCAGCCTGGGTAACATGAGCGAAACTCCGTCTCAAAAAAAAAAAAAAAAAAAAAAAAAAAAGAAAGATGCATACTATTTCTCCTCATAGGACTTCTGATTATGCCACAGCCACTAATTTCTAATTGTCTAATCAATTCATATCTTTTTAAGAATAGATTGAAAAATGAAGAGCTATAAAATAATTCTTATCTCAAATCTGAAATTTACCATTTTCTTCTCCTGTTGTTTTTCGTTTGTCTTCTTGTGAAACATGGACGAGTTGCAGAATGAGAGGTCTCCGGGTGACAATTCCAGTACCTCTGGGAAGCAGGTCCCTCCCCACCAGGCTTTCTAGCACTGAGCTCTTTCCACTGCTCTGAAAACAGAATATATGTAAGAGCCAAATGAGTTTCTTAACATATTTTTTGTTAATTCAATAAACTATATTAACAAAGCAACATACAGAATTATTTTAAAGGAAAAATTGGTGCAGAGACTTTTTAAATGAAAGATACTTTTATTTCCTATTGCATAATCTATTTGTTTTGAATCCAAAACCAGAAAATAAAAACCCTGTTCTCCCATAATTTTCCCACTTTGATACTCCACCAACCAGGCTTCAACACCCATATAATATTGGTATATATAAAATCATGCATATAATATGCAGTTATGTGTAAATGGGGCGGTAATGCATATCTTTTTCTCTAACCTTCTATTTTAATTAATTATTATTATTACAAGGTGTCACTCTATTACCCAGGCTGGAGTGCAGTGTTGTGATCACAGTTTATCGCAGCTTCAACTTCCCCAGGCTGGTGATCATCCTACCTCAGCCTCCCCAGTAGCTGGAACTACAGGCATGCGCTACTATGCCTGACTAATTTTTGAGCAGAGATGGGGATTTGCCATGTTGCCCAGGCTTGTCTCAAACTCCTGGACTCAAGCAATCCTCCCACTTCAGTCTCCCAAAGTACTGGGATTATAGGCATGAAATGCTCCTGGCCTAACCTACTTTTATTTTTAATGTAATAATCAGGGATATTTTTCCATATCAATACATTAACTACTTCTGTGTTTAATAGTTAAAAGAGGGGCCAGGCGTGGTGGCTCACACCTGTAATCCCAGAACTCTGGGAGGCCAAGGTGGGTGAGTCACCTGAGGTCAGGAGTTTGAGACCAGCCTGGCCAACATGGCAAAACCTGTCTCTATTAAAAATACAATAATTAGCCAGGCATGATGGCATGCACCTATAATCCTAGCTACTCAGGAGGCTTAGACAGAAGAATCACTGGAACCCAGGAGGCAGAGGTTGTAGTGAGCTGAGATCATGTCAATACACTCCAGCGTGGGCGACAGAGCAAGCTCTGTCTCAAAAAAAAAAAAAAAAATTAAAACAGTATTCTACTGTGTGTAAAACCAAATCTGAATTGATGAGCATTTAGATGTTTTTTTGCTATTAACAATGCTGCAGTGAACATGCTTATATGTATAATCCTACTCACTTATCCTATTACATCATTCGATTTAGTTCCTTTAAGTTAAATTGCCATGATTAAGTAGCATGCAGATTTTAAGCATTCATAGATATGCCAGACTGCAGAGAAGATGGCACCAAGCTGTATTTCCAACGGTTACCAGTTCATTCAATTTGCTGCAGCACCATCAGTATTAAACAACACTGCTTTTTGAATCTTTGCTACTTTGATAGATGGACACTGACAGCTCCTTTAAATTTGCATTCCTTTATTATTGAGGTCAAGTATCCTTCTGTTTAAGGGTCTTCTGCATTTCTCCTTTAGTGATTTTCTTGTTCAAATTCTAGCATTTTATATATTTCATATTAGTTTACAATAAAGTTCTTTATCCATAAGTATTTCATTTTTCATCATTTTAAATATTTTCCAACTTTTTATTTTGAAATTTTCAATGCTATAAAAAAAGTTCAAGAATGGTAACAGTGAATATTCATCTATCTTAACATCGTAATTCACCACTTTTTAACTTTATGTCTCTCTCTCCTTACATGTACATACAAAGACATTTTTTCTTTTGCTGTCCCATTTGAGAGTGATTTACAGAAACCATGATACACCACTTTAAACATTGGGGCATGCATCTCCTAAGAACAAGGACATTCTTCTATAGAACCACGATACAATGATCACATTCAGGAATTTTTTTTTTTCTTTTTTTTTTTAAGAGATGGGATCTCATTCTGTCATCCAAGCTGGAGTGCAGTGGCATGATCACAGCTCACTGCAGCCACTAACTTCTGGTCACAAGAGACCCTCAGGCCACCTCAGCCTCAGAGTAGCTGGGATTCCAGGAGCCAGCCACCATACCACTTACATTCAGGAAATTTAACATACATACAATACCAATGACCAATTACTAAATAATCAAAAATACCTCTTTTTTGCCAAAAAGCTGCATAACTAATCAAAAATATCAATACTAATAGCTAATGGAGTAAATAAATAATACATAAACCTCTATTATACATTTAAAAACATTTCTAAATTTGCCATTTTTCTTCAGTTTGCAATACACTTATTTTTCTATGCAATATATTCTGTACTCTTTTTTTATTAGTCAAAACTTGTACTTTTAAAATTTATTTTCTACAAAGAGAAAAATCCTAATTTCCTCTGTTAGACAGGGCCTACAGGAAGCAGATGGCCCACTCAAATTAGATTAAAGAGGGTTTATTTACAAAGCTGTGGGTGAGGTTTAGAGGAATCGAAAGGGATACTGCAGCAACCCAGGCTAGTAACAAGAGAGAAGCTCTCATCACCCCTAAGCCTAAAAGAAAGGACCAGACGGCAGGGCTCGGTGGCTCAAGCCTGTAATCCCAGCACTTTGGGAGGCCGAGGCGGGTGGATCACGAGGTCAAGAGATCGAGACTATCCTGGTCAACACGGTGAAATCCCGTCTCTACTAAAAATACAAAAAAATTAGCTGGGCATGGTGGCTCGTGCCTGTAACCCCAGCTACTCAGGAGGCTGAGGCAGGAGAATTGCGTGAACCCAGGAGGCAGAGGTTGCGGTGAGCCGAGATCGCGCCATTGCACTCCAGCCTGGGTAACAAGAGTGAAACTCCGTCTCAAAAAAAAGAAAAAAGAAAAGAAAGGACCAGACTAAGAGTGGCACACCAGCCTGCCTAACGCTCCTACATACAGGATGTATGACATGCGGGAATCAAGACTGGGACTTTTTTCTCCTCTTTCCTCCAATCCCCTGCTAGAGTTCCTCATTTCCACATCCAATCAGAAAACAGAGGACACAGGGGCTCATTCATGTTGTCCAGGAAGGTCCCCTACGACGGAAAACACAAATGTGGAATGGATCTGGAGAGTTAAATTCAAAGATACATGTCTGCAAAACCACAGTTTTGATATCCCTCTAATTAAATAAAATGGGGTGCTTTCCATCATTTCATTCCTGTACTCTGATACTGTACTCTGAAATAATTTTAACAACATATAGACATTTCCTGTTCTTTATGTCTGACAAAATGTGTTCATAAAAAAAATCTAATTTATAAGCGTAACTACTAATAATAGTGTTAGAATTTGTTCATTTTTCTTATTCCTAATATTTTATGTCCTTTTTTTTTTTTTTTTTTTTTTTTTGAGACAGAGTTTTGCTCTGTCACCAGCCTGGAGTACAGTGGCAAGATCTTGGCTCACTTGCAACCTCTGCCTCCTGGGATCAAGCGATTCTCTTGCCTCAGGCTCCTGGATAGCTGGGACTACAGGCACGCGCCACCACGCCCAGCTATTTTTCATATTTTTAGTAAAGACATGGTTTCACCATTTTGGCCAGGATGGTCTTGATCTCTCAACCTCGTGATCTGTCTGCCTTGGCCTCCCAAAGTGCTGGGATTACAAGGGTGAGCCACCACATCTGGCCAGTATATTATCTTATTTTTATGAGACTTTCCAAATGACTATTAAATTGATTTTACTTGCCAAATATTTTGCTTATTGTGCTTTGTAATTGATTTTTTTTTTTAATATTGCTAATTTCTTCTTCCTCGGATTTTTTTTCCTGGTGAAAGGAGGCTTTAACTGTTCTTTTAAAAACTCCTTGAGTTGAATCATTAGCTTATTTCTCTATTTCAGCTACCAACACTTGTAACCCTCACCCACCCCTAACACAAACATACATTCTCCGAATCAGTCATCTTTATCTACTTTCTTCCACACCAAGAACTGTGGTTCTCAGTGACATAGTTTGTGACAGAACTAGAATAACACAATTTATTTCATATTACACACAGATTGTCAAAATAATAACACCAATATTATCACCAACATTTTTACTGAAAGTAGTTTTTTAAATGTTTTGCATATAATCCCTCCATTCTCCTTCCCACCCCTTTACAGACCACATTGTCTTTCAAACCCTCATTTGGTCTTAGTTATGTGTAATACAAACCACTAGTCTTTAATGTGTTTCTAGTCATTCTGATTCTGACACCCATCTCTAGCAGATTCCTCGGGAAGGGTTAATGGGGACAGTATTCTTCAGGTTCTAGCGTATTGTCTGTGACTTTTTAATTTTTTTTAGAGTCTCACTCTATCACCCAGGCTGGAGTACAGTGGCACAATTGTGGCTCACTGCAGCCTCCACCTCACTGGTTGAAGTGATTCTCCTGCCTTGCCTCAGCCTCCCCAGTAGTTAGGATTATAGGTGCATGCCACCACACTCGGCTAATCTTTGTATTTTTAGCAGAGATGGCGTTTCACCATGTTAGCCAGGCTGGTCTCAAACTCCTGACCTCAAGTGATCAGCTCACCTTGGCCTCTCAAAGTGCTGGGATTACATGCATGAGCTACCATACCTGGCCCTGATTTTCCTTTACTTACAAAGGTAAGAGACTTTGTGACTTCTGCCTATATGTCTCAAGGATTTTTCCTTTTCCTTTAAAGTTCAATAATTTTTTTTTTTTTTTTTTTTTGAGATGAGTCTTGCTCTGTCACCCAGGCTGGAGTGCAGTGGTGCAATGTTAGCTCACTGCAACCTCCGCCTTCCGAGTTCAAGCAATTCTCTCGCCTTAGCCTCCCAAGCAGCTGGGACTATAGGCATATGCCATCATGCCCAGCCAACTTCTTGTATTTTTAGTAGAGACAAGATTTCAACATAATGACCTCGTGATCCACCCGCCTCGGCCTCCTTTTGTTTTACTTCAAAAATTTGCTTGAGATTTGACAACAATTATTTCATACTGTTGACTTTTGAAAGAGGCTTGGCTCTGAATAGCTATTCTACCTTTACACTCTCAATCCTCCTCTTGATGTTTTCATATAGTATTCAAAAATATAGTTTCTTGCTTTCTGAGATATCTTGACTTTGTTCACCTCCCCTGCT